GTAGGATTTCGTTGTCCAAAATTACTACAGCTAGAAACTGATTCATTCATCAATTATAACCTGGTATGTGCATTGGTATTCCGCTGTTAATTGCACATGCCTAAATGTCATTGTACCTGAATAGCACTGGAAGTTTGTCTATCTACAGCTCGTTAATTTAACCCTGATTTGTGGATTAGTAGTTCACACTTATATAGTGGTACTTAAGCTTAACTGTCGTACATGAGAACGTCATAGTCTGGTAGCGTTAGTGCGTTGTTTTATTTACTTACATTAGCAAAATGCAAGTAATTGATTTTAATGTTACAAAAGCTCTAATATTGTTACCCGTCTAAACATCAGCCTGCAAGGTTTACAAAAGCGAGCAACGCTTAACTGAGGTAATGCTCAATTTTCGAATGTCAAATGAACTTAACCCTTCGGAAAATATCCTCAACTAATCTCATTCGACCTAAATTATCAAATTCACGTGCGAAATTCGACAAAGGTCTGAATGGACAGCCGCTCGGACATATTTTTGACATATTCAGAGCGGTTAATGCCAATTTCGTCCTGTTTAAATGTCCCGATAGATTAGCTTTGAGAAATGGCGGCGTCAATTCTTACCGTGTACTTACATATCTGCAAACTACCTCGGTTCATAATTCGCAGACGGTAAATATAAACTTGTCGCTGGAGGCAGTGTATTTCTAGATTTTTTTTTGTTGCAACGTCAACACCAAAACAATCAACAGCCAAAACGACATCACTGAATCTGCGTATTTAGACGGTCGCTCTCATGTAAAACCCGCCGTCAAGTATACAGTGTGAGCTCTTACACAGAAACCGATAAGAGGGACAGCTTTTGTTAGTGCTTACGAGCACCGAAGCATACACACGCTGTTCTGCGCGTCTGCCCAGCATTCTCTTCAAAATGCTCGAGAGGTGTGCTACGTTTATGCTTAACATTTCACTTTTAGCTTTGTTGCGTGATTTTCTAAACGCCTGCACTGCAGCTGAAAAGGTAAAGCTTCGCATCACATCTTTGGAGCCTTGGCGCAGGCGCTGTAGACTACTAAGGTATAGGGGTATGCAACCTGCTGCCCGTGGGACACTATAATGTGGCTTCTGGCACAGCGTTAGAACCACCCTCCCCCTTTTCTCGCGTTGTCTATTGACTCACTTCCTATCTGGATTGTCAAGTTCTTATCTATAGTTTGTAACGAAGATTTCTGAATATCAAAGCAAAGACATATATATTATAGTTTTGTACGTTAGTTTCAACTCGTCGATCTCTTTTCGCATTGCCTGCAAAGCCCACCCAACTTCCCGCCCTTCAGATTTGCCGTCCGGTCCTGTAGCCATGCGATTCGTGCAATTCGGCTCTCCACCTGAATCAAAAGCATGCCTATCAATGGGTAAAGGGATACTTAAGGCCTCACTGAGCAAGTTGACCGTGTTTCCTGTCAGCACATACGTTCCTTTCGTCAGGCGTCCTTATTCGTCGCACTTGTCTCTTCTTCCTTGTATAATGACGCACCAACTAACCGAACGGTTCACGATACTGCCGAAACACCCGTCATCACAAAATTTCAGATGCCACGTCCACTCTGTTACATACAGTTTTCGCTAAAAAAAAATCGCGAGTCTTGAGGAGAACAAACAAATCGCAGTAGAAGTGAACGGCTCTCTTCAGTTATGTATAGTCATTCACAATGGGTGCCAAATAAAATGAGTCACCATTACATATGATGTAAGTAGCGATGATCAATATCAGGTAATATTCAGGGTATGGGATGGATTAGAGTGTGCTCGAGATGGGCCAAGTACAGATCATCGTAGCAAGGCCGACTCCCTTGCCCCCCCCCCCCCCCCGCAAGTGCATGCCTATGTTACTGGGCACAGGCGTGCGCAGGGTTCCACACTGGGGGGAACCCGGCGATGGGACCCCCCCCCCCCCCTTAACTCTTGTTGGTCGAGTTTAATATACAAAATGCTTCATAATGGATGAACAAGCGAAAACGAAGCGATGGCTTGCTTCGCACAACGGTCCACTTTTGTTTCTCGGCTCTCTAAGTATAGGACAGACTTTCCGATCCCCCCGTCAACCGCCCGAACGCACGCATACGCAACTAAGGAACGACTTGCAACCGCCTCTTGTACTCTTTCGATGGAGTCAACTCAGGCTGCACGGCGGGTTTGTTGTTTTTGATATGTGGGGTTTAACCACCATATGATTATGAGAGACGCCGTAGTGGAGGGCGGGTTAGTTGGTTATCTAGTGTATCCGATGATGATTTCCTTTAGATACACTAATGCTGGTTTGATCACGTGAATTGTCAAGCACCATGTTAAGGTATATGAACTGCTGATTCTCGGAATAAGCTGCATTGTTGAAAGTTAGCGCTGTGTTTGTGTTATGTGCCTTCTCTGTCCCGTCTTCGATGCGCTATACAACGGGATTCTTTCGATGGCCCGAAGTTGAACCTCCAGGTCACGGTGCATTCCTTCCCACGCTTCGCACGAGGAAAAAAAAATTTCAGCGGATCCCACGTACCTTGGAATCACCGTTATGCGAAGCATCGGGAGAGAAGATGATCTTGTTGCAGTTTTTTTTAGCGACACGTCATGAAATGACGCTAAATATAGGTACAAATGTTGCACGCACAGACATATGTTGAAGAGTTCCAGATGTTTATATAACCAGCTGTTTGCACTTGCGCAACGATGTCAGCGGGAACATGCATATTAGCATCACCAGAAGCTGATATGAAGCGCTGATGCTCACGAAGATGCTGGCCCTGGACACTGCTACATAAATCAGCTTCAGCGCATGGCACCGAGCCACGATTGACGTTAACCCGACAAAGGAGTACCATCAAAGGTGCACAAATGTAATGTTTATAACACTGGGTAGGCAGCACTGCAACCACTATTGACGTTTCACGAAGATTAGCGTCTATTTGAAAAGTAGTTCCGAAACCTGGCTAGTTCTGTGGTAGAATAGTTGACTTCCACGCAGAATTTCTATGGTTCGATTCCTGCTGGCACCCTGAAATTTATTATTTGCAATCGTCGGGGGGTCACCTCTGCCTACTCAAATTTCTCTTAACAATGACGTTTATACTATGCCTTCGTTAATTGGGTCGACGCTACCGATGTCGGGTGTTGCTTAACGCTCACGCGTTAAAATTGCCCATGTGTGTTATCGTCATTATTGGGTAGATAGTACGTGTCAATCACCTGTGGCACATACCCACCCGCGGGTATGTGCCGCTGTCTGGAGGGAAGTGTCTGACGACGTACGCGACAGGATTGCGACATTATTCATGTCTGGACCAGCGCGTCATACCCTCCCATGCTACTTTTGGTTCACGCCAAGTTAAGGGGGTGACCACGATAGCACCCAAACTTTAGATAGATAGATAGATAGATAGATAGATAGATAGATAGATAGATAGATAGATAGATAGATAGATAGATAGATAGATAGATAGATAGATAGATAGATAGATAGATAGATAGATAGATAGATAGATAGATAGATAGATAGATAGATAGATAGATAGATAGATAGATAGATAGATAGATAGATAGATAGATAAACACGCTCAAAGTCGCCGAAGTTCGCTAAAAAATGCTTCGCATTTAAAATTCGCTATTATCTGCAATCCATCCGCAGGCAACTTGGGCAGAAGCGGTTGCGCTCACGGCCGCGTTCTTGCATCAGCCATGTGGCTTTGTTGCGCAGGTGCGCGCCCGTCTCAAGTGTCCATCGGCGTGCCCCGCCGCGGTGGTCTAGTGGCTAAGGTACTCGGCTGCTGACCCGCAGGTCGCGGGTTCAAATCCCGGCTGCATTCCCGATGGAGGCGGAAATGTTGTAGGCCCGTGTGCTCAGATTTGGGTGCACGTTAAAGAACCCCAGGTGGTCGAAATTTCCGGAGCCCTCCACTACGGCGTCTCTCATAATCATATGGTGGTTTTGGGACGTCAAACCCCACATATCTATCAATCATCAGTGTCCATCGGCGTTCCGCTCTCGCGTTAGTGCGAGCTCCTGGCACGGCCGTGCTTGCGGTTCTCACTTGCATCGCTTGCCGAACAAACGGTCTGGTGCCTTCACTCTGGCTGCGCCCCACGGCGGCCAAAAACTGACGACTTCGTAACGTGTCGAGAAAAGTGCCGTTTTTTTGTGACCATCATGCCTCTTATATCGTTACATCCTTAGCTCTGCCACATACCATGCACGTTGCAGTGTAACTCACTGTATTTCGACTGATATTCATTCTGTCATTTACGCCTTCTCATATAAGCGCACAGTTCGCATATTTTGATTGAAAAGCTTCATTCTTTCTTTTCTGCGCACTGTGGACAGTATTAATAGTGTGGTTTTATTTTTACACATGTCTCAAAGAAAGAAAAACGCATTGCACTAAGTATCAGGCGAACATAAATGCAAGCAGATACATACCACCTTTTATGGACATGTAAAGGGTTGCGGCCAGAACGCTCCCGTCACCTCGCTCAAGTCGGCCCTCGCTACAGCGATAGAGCCAGTTACAACCACTGGATACATGAAAACATATTCCACAAGGCACGACTTCACTTCATACACAACACCGGCCTAACGGCGCACATTTAACAAAATATTATGCTATAAAGGCAAGTCTTTGTCGCAATAAAAAAATTAAATGTAGAGAATACGGGCACGCATAGAACTGAAGCGCCATGTTCTCCGAATGAGAAATTGGCATAACTGATAGACGACGTTCAAATTTTATCTTTCGCCGTCATTTGTGCTCTGATGCTGTACAGTTTTGTGTGTCCTTTATTGTGTGGTTTCCTTGTAATCCCGGGCTGCGCCGTTGATGCACAGTTTTAACGACGAACAATGTTGCTATACGTCGGCAGTGCCGCTTCATCCACCTCCTTGATGCAGCGGCGTCGTGCCAAAAGTCGTTTTTTTTCTTGTCACTAACTCAATTGTCTCCTTACTTGCTCCGGGATACGCAGGCGCCCTCATGAGTACCGGTGGCGAAGAGACGGCCCTCGTGGCCGCGCAACCACTGCCGGCCGGCTGCCGGTCTCGGCCCTTCTCGACGCCTTCCTGCAATCAGCCTCTGCGGCGGATGCTCGTCGACGCCCGCGGATCGCGGCCCGTGACGCGACCGGTGCCCGTGGCTTGCGCCGGCGTCGAGCTCCTCCTGCCGGCCACCGCGAACCCGCTGTGCGCGCGTCTCGCCCGCGACTGTCACGAGCAGAACGCGACCGTGTCGCGACTGGCCTGCGGTCGTCTCGCGCTCGTCACGACGCGCGCCCTGGGCGCGGGCGAGGAGCTGCGGCCCTGGCTCTCGCCCGCGCTGCTCGCCGAGCTCGGCGTGCCGGCGGCGCTGACGCCGGCGCACATCCGCGGACACCGGTGCTACGCGTGTCCGGACTGTGGCGCGGCCTTCGAGCAGCCCAACCCGCTCAAGGCGCACCTGGCGCTGGACGCGTGCGGCGCCAAGCCGCCGAGGTTGGCGCCTCCTCCCAGGCACGCGTGCGCCTTCTGCGGGAAACTCTACTCGCGCAGGTGAGCGTATCTCCGTAATCGGCCGAACGGTTTTCGACACCGATGTTGCTCCGACAATACGGAGTGTGTTCGTCGGCCCGAGAATATACAAAAAGTGCGCTTCGACGACACTGTTGGGGGGTTCTTGTGACGGATGTGCAGGTGCTGAAATAGGTAGTTGGACGGAAGTCCGCCTGGTTAGGAACCAACATGACAATTAAAACAACACATTGACCCCGATTAAAAGCAAAAAAAATACACCATTTTCAGCTAAAGGGACCATGAGGGGATGCGAAGCAACGCTGCTGATCGCTTGTGTTTCCATTTGTATGCTTCTGTGTATGTTACCGATGCCGCTACAACTGGGGCCAACCTTGACGTTCATAGCGTCGTTGCAAAAAAAGAGCGCAACACAGCGAGCGCACACATGATTAAATACGAGCGCAAAGCTGTGGCGGAGAGATAAAGTGGGGAGGATAAACGAAGTGGAGGCAGCGCTCTGCCAGCTACTCGACCCCGTCTCCTCCCACCTCCTCGCGCTTAAGCGAGGAGTGGGGGAGAGTTGGCGCATGCGCAGTGGGTGAAGCGGACGGTCGCCAAGGGACGGACGCAGCCCCGAGTGAAAGCTGCTTCGCATCTAATGAAAAACACTTTCACGAAGGCTAAAACAGCATATGTATGACGTCAGAAAAAGAGACGGTCTCATCGAATGCGCTGGTCGAATATGTGGAAACGTCTGGACACAGACTGGGATAACGCAAGAATAACAGAAAGAGAAATGAACTGGTCATATTGGGTTCATCTCGAATCGATCACGATGAAGACAACGGCGCACACATTGAATCGTAATGATGAAAACTGTCCACACGCATACACACGCTGCTAACGTCGCATTTTGTAATATGCATAACCAGACTGCTCACACACATTTTTTTTTACTTGTGAACATGGCTCCCGTACGGAGGCCGAAACAGCTGGCTTTTATTTGCTTTTAATCGTAGTCAGTGTGCTGTTTTAATTTTCGATGTACAGGTGCCTCAGAAACAGCTTCCTGCCTTCAGGTAAACGATGAGCGAGGCAGGACACAAAACGTCGGCCAGTTTACGAACGTATAAAGAAATGCTGCTTGACTTGTCGAATGGCTAATAGTCACTGATGGGGGAAAATCAAGTTCGATCTACCAAGGAAACGGGGTGATGGCGGCGACGTCCGACACCGAATACGCAAGAAATAAAGCGGCTATCGGCCATCTAAATCTCATGTCGGATATTTCTGTTGACACCATGTGATTAAAATTTATACATTATTCGGCGGCATATCTTGGCTTAGTTTGAGATCGCCATCACTCCGGATTAATATGGTCGCTGGGTGTCAGCCATGGGAAAGGCAACAACTGCAGGCTTAGAAATTGCAGCTTCGGAGTAGCCTAGAAGCACCGATTTGGCATGAATTGTGAGTATATATACTTACCTTTCGAAGAGTCGTCACCTCTTCTGCGATTTGGCAGCCAAAAGCTGTGTCTGAAGTTCACATCATGCGTAGTGGCCACAACAGCTTTTGAAGAATACCACGGATGGTTACGTCCCGCAGATGCCACCGCGCCCGCCGCAGTCCATGGTATAATCTTGCACATCACTTGAACATATTGCCACGCGTGTTATACTCATGTGCTAGGTTTAAACCCACGAAGACTGACAGAAATGCTCGGCACAGAACGCGCCTCACGCCCGTATTGTAGAACGTCCCTTCACTCAACACTTACTTAGGCCCGTATTCACAAACGCTCCTCGACTCGACTTTCACCCTTCACTTGACAGAGTTGAGCACTGCGCCGCCGCTCGGCTGAAAATGGCGCCGCGCTACTCAAGAATCGCAGCAGATTATCGCTGATATGCAGTGACTTGTCGTGACTACAGGCGGCGCTACCATCGGTTTTCTGATGTGAAGGTGGAGTGTTGAGTCGAGGGACGTTCTAGAATACGGTGGTTATAGACTCGAGAAAGTCGAAGGGGGCGCCGTGTAAGCGGAGCAAGTGACGGCGTATCAGCGATAATCTGCAGCGATTCTTTAGAAGCGCCGCATCATTTTCAGTCGAGCAGCGGCGCTGTGCTCAACTCTGTCAAGTGAAGAACGAAATTCGAGTCGAGGAGCGGAATACGGGAGTCGGTGTTCGAGAAGCTTCACCGTTGCGGTAGATCGTTTTGTTAGGATTGCCCACAGGACGCGAGAAGTCAAGCTTATTCAAGCGCCTGCGCGACCACCAGTGACGATGCCAGAAAGTGTGATGCGTGATGCGTAAAAGACGACGCGACCCAGCGACGATTAGTTTTATCGACGGCCGATGCTCTTTTTTTCTCCGCTATCATTGTACAGCGTGTTCTGCTGTAGCCTAACTTTCCGTTTCCCGTCCACAGCTCGGCCTTATAAAAGCTTCATCTTGCACGCGCCGACTGCTGCCGTCGTCAACGTCACGAGCACGTGACATGTTAGGCGTTCATCTTTCGACCAGGTGGTTTCCCGGTGCAGCAGTGTGTTCCAGTTCGCCAAATACGAACAATTACAAATACATTTTTTTTTTTAGAGATAGCGCTTTCCCATAGTATCAAGGCATACTCTAGAATTTTTTTCAGAAGGTATTTCTGTCTTTGACAGCTAACTTGAGTGACTGGTGGTCAATGCGCAGGCGCGGAAGCCCTTCAGTATCACCCGGAAAGCTAAATAAAGAACGACAAAAAATTCAGGGGAGTGTCATGCCCCATAACATCTCCCCCCCCCCGCCCCCACCAGTTACGGGCCTGCCCAGTATACATCGCAACAGTGCAATGCGAGAACCCAATCCGTTTTTTTTTTTTTTAGCTTTACCACTCAAGGGCTCAGTTCTTGAAAGTGGCTATCTCTTCAAACGCGGTATGTCGTGTGTGATCCGAGCGGCAGCGTTTACTAAACACAGCTGTGCGCGCGTGTTCGCAGGTACGGCCTGAAGATTCACGTACGCACTCACACCGGTCACAAGCCCCTGGAGTGCCGTTTCTGCCGGAGGCCTTTCAGCGACCCGTCCAACCTGAACAAGCACGTACGCCTGCACGCGCAGCGGGACTCGCCTTACCGCTGCGCGCTGTGCGCCAAAAGACTGGTGCGCCGCCGAGACCTGGACCGACACCTTCGCGCCAGACATCAGCTCGAAGCTCAGCCTGTACTGGCAGCCACCAGGCCAACCTCTGCGACGACGACAGCAGCGTCGGCGCTCTCCTGAACACTCGTGAAACTGTTGATGGAGCGACGTACAGCGGGATGGTATACCAAAGAGTGATGGCGTTTGAGAGAACAGCAGCGTGGTAGATACTAAAAGCGCATAATGCGAGGTCAGAGAACAGTCTTGAAACGCACGAATGCATACTGTAAGAAAAGATCTATCTTGTTTTTTTTTTTGTATGTGAATGGATAGAAATTATCGGTGGGCGGCACATGTGATGTGTCACGAGTTTTTCGCCATGCATATAAATGGTTGCTTGTTTCTAAAAAGTATTGTTTTAGGTCAGCCCTCTTGCGTCTGAGGCTTCCTCTCTGTCCTAGTGTTATGCACTTCCAGTTTCTATCATGTCTTACCAACGTATCCGAGCAGTCACTTCAGTGACACTGCGTGAAACGTTCACCTCCCGATGTGTCCTGTTTCCGGACCTTGTTCTGGGTTGAAGAGATGCCATCATCAACAAAGTGCGACCATTTCTTTAGTTTAATCTTCAAGAAACGGATGAGGATACGTTTCCTGCTCTTTATTCAACAGACCTAGGCAGTTCCCGCCATACTTTGCAAGAATAAAGATGCATTTATCAGCGACAGTATGATCGTGTGAAATAAAAAGAAAACCATTTCATCTCGCAAATAGAACATCCAGTCGACTGCGAGTATAGCACAAAAAATTACTGTGAGGTATTCCTATAGAAACAGACTTACCGGATCCACACAGAAACGGTTCGGAAAAGCTCGTACGAATAATTATTTGACAATACTTCAGTAACAGTTTCTCATTTTTCAAGATGGTCAAATTTCTGCGTAGACAAGGTAAACCTAAAGTTTCTGACTATATAGGCAGAGATGGGAAATACTGAAAGAAAACGAAATTACTTTCATAGAATGGAAATACTTCGTTCCAATGCTTGGTAACCATGTTCACCAGCTGGCATCGCAATACAGCTCTGCCACCTACATGATCCTGATATAGGTTCTCACAAGCCTTGTCCGAATCGCATTTCTCCCTTTACAACTGAATTGAGAATATTCCACAAGGAGATTATGTTCGGAGTGTTTCACGTTTACACGGTAAGTTGCACTGCATTCAGGCGATTGCTTGGTTGTCCTGTTTCACGCTGTTACCTTTGTTCGTCTACTAATTCCGCACGCCCATCTGCCAAGACACTTACCAAAGATGTCCACTCTCCGTATATCTTGCCTGAATATAGTCAACTCGGAACGGGTAAATTCTAGGGCCGAGATTCGATTATGTGTCACCGGCGAAGTCCGAGAGCAAGCGTTACTCCACTGAGTTCGAGACAGGGTCCACAAGACCGTGCCGCATCAGCCACCGTCCACTGCCAGTGCTGCATCGGTGGGCTCCGTCGAAAATTCCACGTCCGCGAGCTGCTGCGGCATGGCGTTGACGTCTCCCAAAGCACGCAGCAGGTGAAAGGAGAGAGCGAGCAGGCCGATGCCCAGCAGATCTCCGAGCGCCGTCAAGTACGGAATCGCGGCGTTGTCAGGGTCGATCTGGCGGGCCCACATCCAGTACACCATGCATCGCGACAGGTACAGCAGCAGGAAAACCTGAAGCAGCGCCGACGAGAAATAGACGAGCAGGAACACGGGCGTGACGGCCATGCGGCTGGGCCGCACGAAGCTGATGGTGTAGGTGAAGACCAGGTGACCAGGGAGGACCATCATCATGAGGACGCGGGCGGCGCGCGCGTTGCGACCTTTGCCGAAGAAGGCCGAGCAGGGGTCGAGGCAGATGCCGCCTCCGGCCTCGATCGGGCGAGCGCCGATCTTGGTGCGCTGGTGCAGGTAAGTGGACAGACGGCTCGTCTGGATCGCCACCAGGTTCCCCGCCACACCTATACGGGCATGCCTGGAGTCAGCATCTCTTTTGGGAGCATTTGCATTTACGCCAGAGTGGTGATTCAACAAGCGCCCCATAGACTCGTCAGCTATTGCATGTGCATGATAGTACAGATTATTTATATATTTTTATCATTTTATTTACGCCTGTAAGAACAGCATTGTAGGTAGCGCAACACATTACGAAGAAGGGATACAGAAAGGAAAATGATGATGATGATGATGATGATCCTTGACACTCTGGCGCACACCCACAAAGGGGGATCGGCCAAGAACCGGGTGGCAGGATCTTAACTAAAAGGCTAATGGTTTTTCAATGAAAACGTAATTTTGGGCTGAAAGAAAAAATATAGAAATATAGAAAGCAAAAAACCCACAAGCGCCTGTTCTTTCTGTATCCCTTCTTCGTAAAGTGTTGCTCCACTACCAAAGTGTCTGTACATACTGCCGACTGGCCCAATCATATTTTTGCAACCTTCCTGAAGTGCATACTGTCTGACAAATAGCCCGTACGTATGAAACTGCGTCGGGTAATCATTGAAACAATAACAAAACTTTTCATTGGTTGGCGAATAGCAAGACACAACCTATAGCAAAGAAATGAGACCCCAATCAATTCTTCTACTTTGGAGAAAATGGTTTCGTTACAATTTATCGCCGTTTAAGCGCAGAGAGAATCCAGAGTGTTGCAGAGCTTAAACGCTGCTGTAAACCAGACTTATGAAAACAAATGGCAATACGCAGCTGTCTTTTATCTTATTCGCGTTTTTTTCTATGCTTCGTTACATAATGAATAAAAAACGGGCGCATATAGCGTTAAAGAAAAAAAGAGGGAGGGGGTTGGAGGAAGAAAGAGGATGGGCCTAGTTCGATCTAAGAAAGTGCTCTCGACGTTTGCTGCTGAACGGCTGAAGTGGATACTATAGCTTCTGGAAGAGTTCTCTGGGGCATGCCCGTGTTGAGGTAGAAATAGCAAACGACACTAATATCCTGCAGATAGCTGTGTTTCGTGTAGCTCATGACAGAAATCAGACGTATACGAAGCTCCGACCACGAGTCCATGGACGCACAAAAACAAGTGACCGAACTTTGTGAAAGACTCACCGCTGATGACTGGCTGGAAAACGGCCAGATTCTCGAAGGTCGGCACCGTCATGTCCAGTATGGAACCCCCGAGGCTGCGTGAGCGTAAATTTATTCACCACCGGTCCAACGGGCTTGGGGCAACCAATGGCAGAATATAAAGCACGCATCCAGCGAAAACTTAAGGGCTTATTTGGCAAGGTGCTTCTCCTTTTCTTTTTCACGTATAAAACAATCAACGTGGTCAAACAAAAAACAATCAAATGAGACATGTTCATTGTCATTAAAAAAATGTATGCCGATTTGTTCGGATTTTTTTGTCTGTATCCTCCGTGCAGTACTCTCGGTTCTATGAAGCAGTATAGGCGTGCGCAAGGGGGGGTGGGTAGAACAGAGAGGCGGCTGCCCCTCCCTCCCCCTCCTTAAGGGAGGCGTTAAGCCAGCCCCAAAATTTCGCTCAGTCGGACCTCTACTGTCATGTTACAGCGCTAAGTTTCTTGTGTCGTCACTTTGCCACAGAAATTTGCTCACCTCCGACCCTCCAAAAATGAAGCTTGCTTGCCAAGCGCTAGCTACGCGTCGTCCTATGCAATGCACCAAATGCTGGCGTTAGGGTCGCGGTGCTAATGGCTGTCTCGAACGAATAAAGAAAATTGAAATTGAAACTGCACTGGAGATTAGAGACCAGAGTGACCCGACGCAACGTTGCCATTGCTTTGAACACCGGGAACATTGATGGTGCAGACAGAGTGCTGAGTTTGAATACCCAACATCGAAGGGCTTTACTTGACCAATCATTAGGAGATTACTTTCTACCAGCCAAAAGATAACGTACGCAACATTTCGGCAGCCTTGTTTGCTAGGTTAAAAGTACAAGCCCTTGGCATGATTACGAATAGGTATCATGAGACGTTCGACAGGGTGCCCGAAGATGGATTTACAATCACATCGCTTGCCAGCATTCTGCAGACAAGACAGACGAGGACGTCTTCCTGTGTCTAAACGAGGTACGGTGTGGTTTGGTACTTTAGTGGGCTTCCACCAGCTCCTTGCGATAGCAAAGCCATTACTCATAACTTGTGATGTTCTGGATTGTGGCCATGAATTTTTTTGACAATATTGGAGGACGCGGATCCCTAATGTTGCGTTATAAAACGGTTATTACTGTTGACACCTGTTACGTTATCATATATTTTCTTACCTTGTTCAAAATCAATACACTGCAAATGAGCTGAACACGCCAGTTAATTTGCAAATTAGCTAATCCCGTGTAATCATCGTGATGATGTTCTTGGTTCCTACATTTAGCCCCCAAAGCCAGGGACCAAGGTCATGCTGTTGTGCGCAGCAATTTATTGCTTCATTTTCATATCCCTAACGAAGCTTGCTTGCTGTTGAACTCGTTGTTACTGTCGGCGCTCTGCATAGTTCAACTTGCTGCCCGCCCCCCTACCTCCATAATCTGTAACCCTGCGCAAGACTATAGCACTTTAATAAAAGTCAATGCCACGCACCTGGAGATGGCCATCGCCGAGATGATGGGTATCCAACCACTCCACAGCACGGACGATGTGTAGGTGTTGCTGCGCGCGATGAGCACCCAGAGCGGGATGAACAGCAGGAAAAAAATGACCACGCACAGGTAGAGGCGCACGTCTTCGGTGCCGCCGAAAAGCAGCGATCCGGCGCCCGCGAGCAGCGCCAGCGTCGTCAGGTCACCGAGCGAAGCGGCCACGGGAATGGCCACGTTGTCCGGGTTGATGTGGTGCTTGCGCGACAGGATGACGACGCCGATCATGACGGAACCGAGCACCAGGCTGGCAACACTCGCCGTCACCAGGCTGCTGGCGCACAGCATGAGCGCGTTTCGCAATTCGAAGTGGCGCTCCGTGATGAAGCCCATCATGACGGCGAACAGCGACGCCAGCAGCGACACCACCGTAGCCTGGCACTGCACCAGCGCCATGTTGCCGCTTGCCGACTTCCACTGCTCGCGCAGCGTGTCCATGTTGCCCAAGTTGGCCTGTTGGCGCAAGCGTATACGACGTGATATTTGGAAGTGTGGATATGTGCTTTGTGCAATTCAGTTGGCTCACTGTGTCTCTTACATGCACTGTTCGTGACTGAAGAGCGCAAAACCACTACTTAAGGAAAGAACGGAAGAAGGGAATTTTTTTCTTCCGAACGATTCCTTGCCTTGTTGAACACACCCAAATGAATCTACCAGACAGCTAGCAGGGAAAGCGCGGTCGAAGGTTCGGAATCGTATCCCACTGACGGAAAGTGTGATTATTCCCGAAAATTTATTAATTTTATAATGATTTGTATAATATATTTATTTTATAATGATTTATATGATTACTGCACTACACAATGCAAAACCACAATCAGTGTCCCCCTTCCCGCTGGGTTTCCTTGGCCTAATTGTATGTTGAACTCATATTTGTTAAGAAAATAGGTACACGACAATACAGGTCTTGTTTCTCTACCCGTAATTTTAGACGCCATTTTCCTTCACGAAACCACGTCCTCAAGCCCAGGTGCACATTATGCTGAAGCGCTGTTCGATGAATGATCTTTGCTTGCCCACTAACTACATCTTGTCGAACGCGAATCTCAAGTACACATGCGAAGCCATCTGAACAGTCGAAGATGTATTTCCTAATTAGCCCGGTCAAAGGAACCTAAAGATGCTTTCAATTGGCATCTTCATGGTCTACTCTGCGGGTACTGGCGCGTTGAGAAGCCGACCAAAGAAGAACCGTGAAAGGACGACAATTGTACCACAACAGGCCAAGCTACCAATCGGTAATATACTCAAATAGAAAACAAGAAGTGCGACTAAGAAAGTGTCCTTTTGATCTATATATTGTGTGCCTTCCCTAGCATTATTGCGGCACGCCCAGCACTTCGAAGTCACTAACAATATGCGCGTTGTCAGCGTGACATGGCATTCATGAATGCAAAATGGCAAGCGCTGAATCTTCCAAAAAAAGTAATGCGAGCGAACTAAATGACGATTGTCGTTTAGGGACAAAAAACACCCTTCTTATCAGCCCATTTCTTAGAATATAATCAGATAAACAAATTATAAGCGTCATATTGCCACGCATGCTCCTTTTTTGTGTTTCATGTTGCCGGCCCATCGCACGTGTAGATAGTACTTAGCGCAAATCACACCAGAAAATCTGAGAGTGTTCGAGATTATCTTGGGCTCATTTCTTGCGCTTGAGCGCGCAAACGCGGACAGCTGAGTTGATTCAAAGAACAAGCGCGCCCACTAGTCATAATGCTCAAATGTTCAACGCCGCATGTACAAATGCCGACGTAGTACTTTGCCGCGGATCAGTTTATCGACGGCCGACGCTCTGCTCACTGCTATCTTTGTTCACTGTGTCTTGCTGTAGTCTAACTTTCCGTTTCGTGGTCACAAGTTCGGCCAAATAAATAGTTTCACCTTGAAGATGCCTACTGCCGTCTTCGTCCACGCCAAGACCCCTTGACAATATGATGTAAAGCGATATAAGTTTGAAACTATGGTGCACTGACGTCATCGTGACCGCCATGACTGTACACTAGTCTGTGACGTCACGTGCAAACTGCGTATACATGTGGAAGCTTGCCGCACACCTGTGTGGACATACGAGCCGCCATGGTCATCTCGAGGTTTCCCTTGAGTCCCAGAAGCGCAGGCACCAGGATGAACAGCTCTGTGACGTTCTGGAAGACGGGCCAGTGCTGCACCATGTCGAGCAACAGGCCCGCGCCCACCGTGCCGAAGCCGGCTGCCAGGAACGGCACGAACACCTGCAGCGCCGTGGCCCGGATGGACTCCTCGAACCATAGGTCGTCCTCGCTGTCTCCGCTGCCGGCAGACGCCCGGGCGGCGCTGGATTTGATGCGAATCTCGGTGGCGTCCAAGCAGTACCCATCGCCGTCGCCATCACTGAAAGCCGAAGTTTGACGGAAACTCGACCAAAAAAGGACGCTCGAGATCGACCAAAAAAGGACACTAAGTTCACTCGAGGTTCCCTCGAGGCTAGGAAACTTTGTGTTCTTTTCTTGTCGGTGTACCGTTTCGCCTTCCGACGCACCCGCCCGCAGCGCGGGCGGGCTTATCCTTACCCCTAGCAACCGGAGCATGTGCGGCAAGAGAGTGTAGGAGAGGGTAGGTGCAGTGCTTCGCTGCTCTTTCTCTCGCTATTCGTTCTCTCTCTCTCTCCTCCCTGCGCCCCGCTTTCCCGTCTACTCGCGCCTCACTCTCGACCGTTCGCTGGCTGGGCACTTCCCAAGAACATTCGGAAATGTAAGCTCGAGACGCCGTTGTAAAACGCCGTTTGTTTTGTTCACTTGATAGTATTCTTTTTAATTGCGCACGCCAGCAACTAGAGCTGGAAACGCATACCGCGTTTCTCGCGTCAGAAAAACTCCCCGTGCGGCGAACGGCGCTATTGACTGCAAGGTGTTAAAAAAAAAGGCTCCGGACACCGCGCAAAGACTCTAATAGCACTGTCGCTGCTTCGAAAGATGTATATAGTCCCACATTTTTCATTTGTATACTCAGACATACTGTAAATATTGCCCCGAATTTCCATTTAGATACTGTAACTACTACTACTATTACTACTACTACTACTACTACTACTACTACTACTACCACCACCACCACAACTAATAGTAGCGGTATACTCCCACCGCCACCATCACCACCACCATACATTTGGTGACGTTCTAAAATGGGCATACCGCGAGAAGCCAACCACAATTAGGTCACATACCGCATGAAATCAGCCATCAAAACGATACGGGATTTTTCTTACCAGTGCTCACTGATGTGCAGGACGCTCGCGGCCGTCAAGTCGTTTCCTTCGTGTAAATACTCCGTCAACTCTGTCACTTCGATCGAGCTGGAAATATAACGTGGATGGCTGTGCAAGAATCAAACAGTTCAGGTGATGTTCAACATTCGCACTTTCTCATCCAGGTTCATTAAAGTAAGTGCCGTAGGATCAGCGGCGACAGCGCCTAAATGCAACGAAGGCGGCTCCAGACACCACACCTCTTTGTAGACTGGGAGAGGGTGATGAGTCGTCCGAACAATGGCACCTCTTGAATGTAATCTTACATGGCTGTCTTCCTGCCTTTATTTATTTATAAATTTATTTATTTATTCATGAATTTATTTATCAATGCTGCCAATACCTACGGAGATCATATAAGAATCACCATCCAATCATTTACGTGGTCACTGGTTACCTTTTCGGCAGCGCCGGTCGCATTTAGATGGAGCCGAAACACCGGAGCTACAGGCCTTTGTACAGTGAGATGTCAGTGAACTGTACAGAACACTGTACAGTGTACTGTAGAAGAACAACAGATGGTAAACATTTCCAGAGCCCTCCACAGCGGCGTGCCTCGTATTACATCGTGGTTTTAGCACATAAACCCTTGACCTTATTATTATTATTGCTATCATTATTATCTATACAACTCAAAACAATAAGCTAAGAGTACACGAAGGTCAATAGCAGCAATGCGCATGATATCACTACAAATCGTGACAGAACTACAGATTACAATTAAAATATTAGGGTGCGCAATGAACTATCAGGTTATCGAACTACGAAATCCGGTTCACGTTCCAAGAGAAAAAACAACAACAGTAAAGTTCCCAAAAAACCCCTCCGTATGTACGCCCATTTACATATGAAGCATTAGTAACAGGAGAGTCAACATTAGAGCTCAAACCTTTCGAACTGATCTTTTTGTTGAGTATAGAAAAATAATTTTTACGAGGGTTTTTTTTTTTATAATTATGTTCAGGAGCATCGCCAGATTTTCTTTTCGGTGGCTAGGGTGGTGCGACTTTCCTTTATGAGCGTTTAGGCGCGTGCTTGTACGGAGACGAACACGCAAAATGTCCAAATTAGCAGGGTGTGGGGAGCGGATCACCATATTAACCAGCTCCCTGGCTGCGCAAGTGATTATGTAGGTAACGTGGGTGGAGTAATAGTTGTCTTTTACTTACTGCGCAGCAGTTCATCAGGCGGCAGATTAGCATATGGGGGCTACGGAAGGATTGCCAACAACCCTTGTTCAACAACTCCAACCCATTTCGTGCATGAACATTCCCTAAGGTTTCTAAAGTCACTTCATTTTATCTCGTTCACGCAACTTCACTACAAAGAGAGCCACGAAATCAAGGAAATGCGAAATTGAAGGTATACCTCGTATATGGTATATACGTGGGCTCAGAAGGATCACGCTCACGTTCATTTTTGTAGAACGCTTAGAATACAGCGTGCTGCAAGATACCGCTGTTTTGACTCTCCTGGAAGGGTGAAAACGCTCGCGGTGCTGTGTTATACGACGCAGCGCCCTTGATAGGTAGCTGATGATAAGTCAAGCATGATCGCGCAGTTAATATTACGTTCGACAACGTATTGAGAACCGATGACTTTCGTTGCGCGTGTTGTCAACGTACAGCTTGGGAGGATTCGATCGGACATATTCAAAACAGAGAGATGAGAGACTCACTTCGATGCGTGGCGCGTCTGCCGCTCCGCCATGGCCACACTGCGATGCCGCGCAGCGGCTCCAATTAAGATAAGCGCGCAATTTGCCCCCCCTCTGTAATCCAGCCGCCCGATAGACACTTCACCTACGAAAAGGCGTACTCCTTCCATTGTCGTAACAGTTTGTAATCACCGTCGCATGGGTAACCATGTCAAGGGCGATAGGAAATTCTCCGCATAAAATCCCGTGTCGGGGCGGTGGGAGAGAGCGCTCAATCTATCGCCATGCAAAGAAAAAAAAAACTACAACTATCTATTATGCAATCTTCTTATAAGACGACTTGAGAGTGAAAGCCACCTTTATCTTTTCAGTAATTGTTTTGATACTCCCTTTCCCTACGAAAGCTTTCTGCATAAACGCTTGAGCTTTTGCATTGCGTCTGTGATAGCAAGCATTGCAAACTATCTGCACCTCACCTTGTTTTGCGCGGTGCCTCCGGGATCGGTACCACCTATGGCCAAAGGTACGATGTCACGTGACGTCATGACGTCACAAAATTTGTTGACTTGCAACTTGTGCAGACGTCATCACCTAATTATGTCCTTTCAGCATCGCTCGCGTTGGCATCGACTGTGGGCAGTAGCGTTAGCGTATGGGCGTCATCCGAGTTTTGGAATAGCGTTTGGCCCCGCAAACGCTGACGCATGCTCGCTCACCGCAAAGAGGCTTTGCGGACCGCACGTTATTTCAGAATTTTTTTGCGGGCGGACCGCAAACGCGAACGGCGGTTAGCATTATAACGCATGCGCAGTGGCAGCGACTGCAATGAATAGAGTGCGCAAGTGTTTGCGTACGCTATTCGAAAGCCCCCTAATGATTACTGGCGTTTTACGTGAGGCATGCCGTATATATGGTGGTAGATTACCGATCAAGGTTCTTTAACACGCACCTGAATCTAAGTACACCTGTGTTCGTCGCGTTTCACCCCGACCAAAATAAAGCCACCGCAGTGACAGGGAATCGAACCCGTGCTTTTTTTTTTTTCAAACCCAAGTACGTTCAGAAGTAAACGGTAAATTATGAAGCTTGATACATTTTTGGAACACCACAATTCAGCTGATGGTCACAACGACGTTAAATGCGAGTGACAAAAAATAAAGGGAGTCTCTCATATTCATATGGTGGTTTTGGGACGTTCAAGGCCAACTCCGGCAATTTTTCGACCATGTCAAGGTAATGGTGTTTCTATGTTTCTGAGACACTCTTGTCACGAGCCCAATAGCTGAAATGCTCAGAAAATTCGAAAAAATTTTTCAATAAGCAGAAAGGTGCAATACCGAAACCCAACCGGGCACCCTTTCTGCGCATGACGTACTATTTGGTAAGAACCGGAGGCCATATACTGGTCCCGCCGGCACGGAGTATGAAAACTGTGAAAGCTAGACCAGCGAAGCGCCGGCAAAACACGAAAGAGGAAGGAAGAAAGCTTTCCCTTGCTATTAACCTTTTCATAAACGCCTCTCTGGGCGCCGCCATAGCCTTCCTTGAGCTGTGCAAATTGCCGCGTCCCCTCAAAAATGCACTGACAACGCTGCGCCCTTAGCCTTTGTACTCCCGCGCACAGCCCATCATAACGGTGTTTTTTCCCTTCCTGTGAAAAGGTGTATACCCGTGCCGAACACCACCGCCGTCACCTTGTGGCCAGCACAATAAACGCTGTAGCGGCCGAAGTAGCGATGCCATCGGCTGAGTCGATTCCGCCGACATGCCAAAAATGACGTCATAGACAGTGTTGCCAATAATTCTGACAAGAGAGGTGCGCTTTTCAAGGCAATTTTTTAAAATTCATTTTCAAACAATCAGCGCGTCTCTCAAGACCTGTAATTTGCCATAAATGACACAAATGTGCAAAGTAACGTACCCAATGAATTTGATTGAGATTCATTCACCTCGAAAAATCACCGGAGTTGGCCTTTATTTAAACCCCACATATCAATCAATGAAAAATAAAATTACGGCAGCTTGGCCCAGGTGGTGCCAAGCCCGAACGAAGTGCGCAGCTGGGCAACCTTCGGTTTCCACTTTCTTTCCTGTCCTCTTTTCCAGTTTCCTTTCTGCGTTTTTCTTTATTTCCATTTTCCTTTGTATTTTCCCATGTTCTTTCTCTACCATCCCATTTCTCCCTTAATTGCTTCCTCTTTCTAACTTTCAGATGTGGTTTGTGTTGCTGTGTTTCCCCAGCCACAGCATAGTAATTTCTGTGCTCTTTACCACCATCTAGGCGCTTGAAGAACAGGAGGAATTGTTTTTGACGCGAGCACGCGCGCAATACATTACAGTTGATTGTGCTAGATATAGTATATGCCTACATTAACACCATCGCTCGATATCCTGGTTATGCTGCGTGTTCTGCCTGCGTTACGCCAAACGACGACAATGTACGACCCCTTCCTCCTAAAGCGAGAATTCTGGCTTAAAAACCGTAAAACACTGCCTATATCGCGCGCACAGTTAGTAGATGCCTCTGTAATTAACGCCAAGATGGTTTCACATTCAGACTTGCTGATTCTGCACACGTAAAGTTCATTAATAACTTCGTGATGCCTCTGAATACATGGAAAATTATCAGTAGAATTAGCTTTACAGACCCCCAGCGCACGATGGGGCCCGCCATAGCTTCTTGGGCAAGCGAAGGTAACTTGTAGGACAGCTCGACTTATTCATGGTATAATGCACAATCCAAGCTCAGTTTTATATAATACATTTCGATGAACACATGTTGGTTTGATGTAGGTGTCCACGGCATTGTCAAATTATTGAGGGATAGTTTTTACCGGAGGTTCTTCAGCTACCACGTTTTGTTTGGTGACGAAAAATAATCTTTTCGAATTTGAAGTCATTGTGGCTCTCGAAATTTCGAAGCCATCCATCACTTGACTAGAAATCTTTCACGTTCATACGAAGCGCAAAACCCTCCGCCTTCTGCTTCAGGAAGTCACCCTACACCGTGATTTTGTTAGTGATCATGCATTGAGCCAAACGAGGAGTGCTTCCTTGAGCTTCGGGTGAACACCCTGACTGGCATTTTTCTTGGCAAACCCGGTTTATTTGGCAGCCACTTCCAAGATCTTCGCCTTGTTCTTCACGGTCTGAAACAGTTTGCATATAAATTTCGAACTCCCTCCCCACCTCTGCCTGCGACCAGGTGCTTTGAACCTGTTTGATGAGGGCAGCTTTCTTTTCCATTTTAAGCCCGCGGGGGGGAATTCGTGCAGTTCGAAGATGAGGACAAAGGAGCACTTTGCGCCATCGTTGTTAACGGCGAATTAGCTTGACGAAAAGGCAGCACGAAACAGCTAAAAACTCAATGGATGCAGACAGTCGGGAAACGTGAAAGCTGAAGATAACGAGCTGCAGCACACAACCTACTGCAAAGCTAACAGAACAACATGCGAATGAACACAGTGAGGTTTGTGGTTTGAATGGGCTATAGCTAGCAATGGATTGGCATTCACTAGATTGTGGCAACTGCGGTATCGATAGTACAGCAGCCGCGGTGCAGTAGTGCTACTGGCCGCACTGAGCTACACCTACAATGAGAGTTGGGTTCGAGGCCAAAGCAACCAAAGTAGTGGCGTTGGTGGCAACTTCAAGCCCGCGGTTAGTAGTAAAACGTCCGAAAAATCGGATGGTGAAGGCTATAAACGTCCGAAATTTCGTTCTGTTTAATGTATTGACTCTTGAGAAACTTGACAGTGCCGAGGATGAGTCTGGAAAACCAGGCATGCTCGGAAATTCAGGCACCCAGGAAATTGGTCGTCAACTGCATCTGAAACACTCTAGCAGTGCTTGAAGTCGCAAAAATGAGCAAGCACTATTGGGTGGAAAATTTATGCAAGCTCTTAGTGGGAGTCGCAGCAATGACTGTGAGCAGAGCTAGCAATGGCGGTAATCAAGTATAGAAGGCAGTAACACTAAAAAAAAAATGACCAAGAGATACAGGATGTAATTGTCTACAATGGCTTTATTCAGAAATTAAAAAAAAAAAAAACGGCGATGATTGACAGAAGGCTGGGGCATCGTCGTCCAGAAGTGCGCATCAGAGGGGGACAGGGCAGGGGGAGGACATTGGGACGTCGCGCAGGCAACTTACAAGCATCACGCTAGTTGGCAAAGGGTGACTATGGGAAATGAAAACCTTTGGCAGCAATAATGCCTGCATGTGCATGAATGCATTGTGAGATGGGTGCTTTTGAGCTGCGATGATTAGCATATATGGAACACAAATAAGAACAAAAAAAGAAAACAGAATATTTACAGACGCTGCCCAACATTGGACAAGCCACCACGAAGGCCCAAGCCGCAGACGCCCCCGCCCCTCAGCCTGCCCAAGGGAGAGACGTGGATGCAAAGCAACAATTCTCATTATGTACAATTGTGGGGACAGGAAATTGAGACACAGGAGAGCAAGGGCACTCACATTAAAAACGTCCTCAAACTCGATGATCAAAACATAACTGATGATAGTAACACGGGCGTTGATGGGCTAAAAGAAGCCGAAAAATAAAACAAGCCTGGTCACTGCCAGGCTGCTCACGAGTCTTCACTTTTCACTTTCTTGGTAGCCGCTCCTTTCCTGCAAGGAAAAAAAAACAAAACAAAATCTTGTGAGAAACCAGGTTAATAGCTAAGGGACTGAGGTAATCAGAACACACACAAATTTGGCCAGTGACAAGGTAGTACTACCGTAATTACTCGAATCTAACGTGCACCTTTTTTCCGGTTAAGCGAGTTCATAAATCGAATGCGCGTTAGAATCTAGTACGAACAAAAAAATTAGGGTCAATCTATTGCCATCGGCAAATCCAAAATGGCCGCCCCCTACATGCGTCGGCCATTTCTGCCTATGTGTTTCCCATGTGCGGCACTTCGTACGTGTGCTGAGGAGTTCGTCATCTAGTAGTGCATTAGCATCGACGGCGTGAAAGGGCAGACTCCAAAAACTCGAGTGCACCACGATGCCGCTTTTAAAAGAAAAGTCATCGCGTGTGCAGAAATGGACGGAAATCGGGCCGCATCGCGGTCGTCCGGAGTTCCCGAAACGTGCGTGCGGGACCGGCGGAAACAAAAGCAGAAGATTGTCGACAGCAAAGCTTCACGCAAAGGCTTCAGTGGACCACAGCAGGGTCGGCTTCCGCAAATTAAAGAGCTGCTCGGCGAGTATGTGCTTGAGCAGCAGGCGGCACAGGGGCCCGTGACGACAGAACTGCTCCAAGTGCGGGCTATGCAATTAGTCTTAGAAAAAGGTCTAATGCGGAGCCAGTTAAAGCGAGCAGGTGCTGGCTAACTAACTTTATGAAGAGGAAAGGATTTTCCCTCCGAAGGGGAACATGCATATGCAAAAAGTTTTTCGGAGGAGTACGATGAAAAGCTTCACAGTTTTCAGAGGTTTGTCCTAAACTTGCAGCGCAACAACGGCTACCTGTTTGAGCAAATCGAGATGCCGATCAGACGCCTCTTTACTTCGACATGCCTGGCACCACAACCGTCGAGAAGAAGGGGGCGAAGCAAGTTCGCGTGCTGACATCGGTCCACGGCAAAACTACAGTGAGGGCAATGCTCTGTTACACGTCAGATGGGCACAAGCTTCGCCCGTACCTCATATTTAAATGGAAGACGCTCCTGAAAGGAGTCGTTTTTCCGAGTGGTGTGATCGTGCGGGCAAGCGAGAAAAATGGGTGCGCGTTGCAATCGATGTTTTACGTTTTTTTTTTTTCGCGGTGGAAATCGGGTGCGCGTTACAATTGAGGGCGCGGTAGAATCGAGTAAATACGGTATATACAAACTACAGTGGTCTCTCAATAAATGCAAATCAGTTAAATGCAACTGCTGCTTAATTAGAACAACTGCCTATGATATTGTTACGGATGTGATGGGTTTATTTACACTGAAAAATGTCAGCGCTCTACCGTCACTGCCCAATCGCCATCGCTCGAGAGCGTCCGATCTCTTCTTCTTCCTCGCCCTTTCAGTCCGCGTTACATTTTCCTCCGGGCCAGACGAAGCTCACCGAGCGAGTAGAAGCGATCGGTTGTTGTAAGGCTTCAATCGGGCAATGTGCACAATTTGCGTCTTGCGCGAACGCCGGTTCTGAGCTGTCACTTTCGCAATTGCGTAAGTGACAGCTCAGAATATTTAGGCACTGAGTAATGACGAATGGTCCTGAGTACTTAGAAAGAAACTTCTGGCAAAGTCCCTTCTTTCGAACAGACGTCCACAGCCAGACCAAATCACCTGTAGCGAAAGTCACGGGCGGGTGTTTTGCGTCGTAACGGTCTTTCGCGCGAGCGTGGGCGGAAAGAGTTCGGAGCCGAGCAAGTCGACGAGCTTCTTCGGCGCGACACAAAGTCTGCGCGACACTGGCGTTTTTGTTCGTCGAAAAAGGAAGTATAGTGTCAAGAAAACTTTGGGGATGACGAGCATAGAGAAGAAAAAAAAAAGGCGTATAACCCGTGACTTCGTGTTTCGCGGTATTAAAGGCGTATGTAACAAAAGTTAATACGGCATCCCAGTTCTTGTGATCCGCTGCGACGTACATTGAAAGCATGTTGATGATGGTACGATTGGTGCGCTTAGTGAGGCCGTTAGTCTGAGGGTGGTATGGCGTAGAATGGCGATACTGACACCCACAAAGCCGTAGCAACTCTTCGACAATGCCAGCGGTAAACTGTCGGCTGCGATCACTTATCACCACACGAGGGGCCCCGTGACGAAGTATGATCAAGTGTAGAAGAAACCATGACGCATCAGATGATGTGGCTGAAGCAACCGCCATCGTTTCAGTATACCGCGTCAGGTAATCTACGCACACAATAATCCAGCGGCGGCCAGTGGTACTTGGGGAAAGGGCCCAGTAAATCTATGCCGACTTTTTCGAATGGTGATGATTGTTACACCATGATTGTTGCTTTTTGAAGAAGCTGTGTGTTTTCAGTTTTTCCATTTTTCTCAAAAAAGTATATTTACAACTGTTCAATTTTGAGGCCTCAATATCTCTGCAGCTAGGGCAGGTACAACAATAATTCTTTTTGCAATAGAAACCTGTATGTGTGTAGGGTGCAAGTATGGGAGCAGAATTTAGAGAACAAGCCTTTTTAATTAATTACTTATCAAAATTTTAACACAGTTTCAACTGCTCTTGAAAACGGATAGTTCATTTTGCTGTAAAATAATAAGAAAGGTTTAAAAACAAAAAAACTCTAGCATTATTTCAATCTATAGTCATTAGTCTATGTTAGGATATTTATAATATCACTTTTAATTAAGCCCTCTTTTTTCTATGGCGGCCTTAAACAATAGGGGGTGAACTTAAGTAATCTCAGGAATAAGATGAATTACAGAAACACTAATTAAACATTTGAAATCAGCAGAAAAAACTGCATAATTCTGTGTAGTTTCATCAAGATCACTGAAGAAATAAAGAAAAAATTTCTAAGAGCAGTTTGCCCCCTTAACCGGCTGCAGTGGGCCGGCCAATGGTGTGGTAGGTTGTTTGTGGCGTTGGCAGACATAACAAGTTGCGACGTAGTGCTTGGTGGTCTTCCAGAGTCGAGGCCAGTAAAAACGTTGTCGGATACGGTGAAGCGTTCGGGCAAATCCAAGGTGCCCAGACGTGATGTCATCGTGCACGGCTTGGAATACCGCAAGACGCAGGCATTCTGGCACGACGAGGAGTAGTGTGGAACCATGGCTGGAGTAATTCTTGCGATATAGTAGGGCGTCATGAATCACGAATGGCGTGGCGCGTTTAGAGCTACGAGCCACATCAATCATTGGTTTCAGCGAAGGGTCACGCTGTTGCTCGTGACGGAAGACGTCCAAATTTGGGAAGTTGGATGAGATTGCGGCCAGGTAGTCGTCGAAATCATCATCATCAGCATCCACAGTCAGAGATCCACAGTCGGGTCTGGTCGTATACCGTCCCTGTCGACTAGATATCCAAGCACAAGGGCTTGACGCTCACCAAAATGACACTTCTTTGCGTTTAAAACGAGACTAGCTTGTTTGACGCAATCTAGAACAATGCTAAGCTGATGGTTGTGCTCGTGGAATGTCTTGCCAAAAATAATTACATCATCGAGATAACACATACATATCTCCCATTTGAGACCGCGAAGGATAGAGTCCATGAATCGCTCGAAGGTAACTGGGGCATTGCGTAAGCCAAACGGCATAACGTTGAATTCAAATAACCCATCAGGCGTGACAAAAGCAGTCTTCTCTTTGTCAGACGGATGCATTGGCATTTGCCAGTATCCAGACCTTAGGTCGACGGACGAAAAGTATGCGGCCGAGTGCAGACAATCAACAGCATCGTCGATGCGTGGTAGCGGATACACGTCTTTCTTTGTGACGGCGTTGAGACGGTGGTAGTCTACACAAAATCGCCAAGAGTTGTCTTTCTTTTTTACCAATATAACAGGAGCTGCCAAGGGACTGCTTGACTCTTGAATAACGCCTTTCTGCAGCATGTCATTGACCTGATCGGCGATCACTTGCCTCTCTGACGGGGATACGCGATAGGGTTTCTGGCGTATCGGTGTAGCATCTCCCGTGTTGATGCGGTGGTGCATACGGGATTCGGGCGGCATGGAACAACGCTTGTTTTGAGTGAAATCAAAGACTCCCGCATAGCGTGTAAGTACCTCCTCAAGGACATTCTGCTCGGAAGAAGGCAACGACTTATTGATCATACGTTTAATCTCGGCTGAGTAGTTGGACGCAGTCTGACTGATGGCTAGAGACTCTGAGACCATTCTGACGTCAATTGTGGCCTGCTCCTCGAACGTTCCCAGTTTGAATCCGGCTGGTAGAACAACAGGCTCTGAGGCTGCGTTGAGCGCCCACAAGCAAGCATGTCCGTCGATGGCTGTAAGGACAGAGCGTGGGACCAGCACATTCTTCTTGATGGCGTTTGCATGATCAGGCTCCACAAGTCCAGTGCAGGGTCTTGAGCGGACATGAGAAGAGCATACGGGTACTAACACTGCTGTCCGACCAGGGATCGTCACATCTTCAGACAACGAAAGCGCATCGATGGGCAGAGTCGGAAAATCGTCAACTATTTCAGCGGGCAACGTACTTTGTAGAAGAATCTTTCCAGTTCCACAGTCAAGCGTAGCGCCGCATTCATGAAGGAGGTCTATCCCTAAAATGACGTCATGAGTTGCGCGAGCCAGTACAGTGAATCCAACTCAGAAATTTTGTCCACCAATCGTGAGTACAACTGAACAAATACCAACAGGGCATAACGCTTCGCCTCCACCTCCACGAAAAGTTTCTTCCACGCGAACATAACTTTGTGACCCAAGAAACGATGTTTGAAACGAAGGCTCATAACCGAAACAGCAGCACCAGTGTCTACAAGAGCAAGAGTATCTACACCGTCTATACACACACGCACTTTGTTCATCAACATCACAGCAGGAGGAATTGGCGAAACTGACTGTCCCGCGACCGCACCTCCATCGGTCGCACCAGTTAGTTTCCCAGCTGATGCGGGGAAGGTGACCGACGATGTGGAGACGGCGACCGGCGGGACCGTGTCGGAGGCGGGGGACTCGCTGCAAAATTCGTTAGGCCATTGCTGTCGGGGACGGTGGTCGGCCGGGTGAGTGGTCCAGGTTTCGTGCATACGACGCGGGTGCGTCGAAAAACGTGGCGGCACAGGTGTTTCGTACATACGAGCCGAATACGTCGAAAAACGTGGCGGTGCAGCAGGCGGCCGTCTAGAACAGAAGCGCGAAATATGCCCTGGGAGACCACATGTGTAACAAACGGGGACTTATAGGCTTACATTAGCAGGAGCAGAGGTGGCAGAAGTACGCCGAGGTGGGTCGTGCTCCACAGGAACATTTTGTGATGCCGCATAGTAATCTTCTGGTAGAGGCCTGGTTGACGACGGTCGGAGGTCCGCAGCGGCACGTCGAGATGATGACATCCGGTGGTGGCCACGACCCGTCGGGGAAAACGGAAGCCGCGGGGTAAAATCTGTAGTTTCTGTGCGTGGTCGGTTTTCGACGTGACGCTCTTGCATCCAGTAGGGAGGTGGTTCGGGGCACGCGGCGAACGAGCATTGGTGGTGAACGTCACCTGCTTGAAGTCGTACGAGCTCTTCTCGAACTACCCGACGCACGAGGAAGGGAATGTCTTCGCAGGTGGCGACGCCCATACTTGCGACAGTGGGACATTGTCCAAGCGCCCGAACTTGGGTAGAATTCTCCGGGTCTTGAACGCCTCGAATGCGCGACACTGCTGCCTGAAAATCGAAGGAGTGTTCAAGTTTTCTTTTGTTATCAAAAAATTGTACACGTCCTCGGCGATGCCTTTTAACAAATGACCAACTTTGTCTTCGTCAGACATATTTGCGTTGACAATCCCACAAAAAGCTTCAATACTTGTTCAATGTAGGTTGTGCACGTCTCGCCGGGCAACTGAGTCCTACGTAACAACGTTTGCTCAGCGTTCTTTTTCGTGGAACTCGTGTCCCCAAAGCAGGCCTTCAGTTCCTTAACAAATATATCCCAAGTGGGGAGGACATGTTCAAGGTTCTCAAACCAAAGCAAGGCTGTCCCAGCAAGGAAGAATACTACGTTCACGAGCTTCGCCGGTGCACCCCATTCGTAGTAGCGGCTCACTATGTCGAAGTGTTTTAGCCAAGCATCCACGTCTTCGTCAGTTTTACTTGAGAAAATTCGTGGCTTAAGTGCCCAGTAGTCTGGTTGTCGAGGTCGACGGCCACCTTGTGCCGTGTCGGTGGCACTGGTGGATGCAGCAGCGTAGTACGTCAATGGCATTGCTGTGTCGTCGTTCATGCTGATGTTGTCTGGGGGTAGGCCAGCTAAGCGTCTGCTTCTTCGAAGAACTTCTGCAGCGAGGTCCAGGATGGCAAGTTACCCAGCGCCTCCACCAAAGCTGTTACGGATGTGATGGGTTTATTTACACTGAAAAATGTCAGCGCTCTACCGTCACTGCCCAATCGCCATCACTCGAGAGCGTCCGATCTCTTCTTCTTCCTTGCCCTTTCAGTCTGCGTTACAATATGATTGGTTTTGCACTAGTATCTGCACCCCTGTTAATCTGTCAGCAGACGGAACATTGAACGTGCTCACAGCTGCCATGCTGAGGCATAAGTTTCGAGGATAGCCACACCGCAGGTTTCACTGAATGATTTTTATTGCCCTTTGAGTCATTTACTCCTCAAATGCATGCGAGGACAGAAACCATTGGGTTATGCATTTATGGCAGCCTAACTCTAAATACTAGCAGATCATCATCAAAAGAAGCTTATTCTCTCACTCCATGCCCCTGGCTGGCGGCAAGATGGTTGGCGGCACTTGTTTGCATGCTACAAACAGTTAGGTGCTCTATCGAAAACAAGTCCTTTAGTCGAAGTGCTGGCACCAATAGCAACCCTCATTCGACAACCATTAGATGTGTCCCAACATGTTTTGCAGTGTGCGCCAAGTTTCAAGAATAGATGCAAATAAGTCGGCACTCCTCATCAGCTTCCACGGGACTCACCCATCAGATGACGGTCGTTTTGTAGCCGCTCCAGCCCCCCGGCCAGCACTCAGAGTCACATTGTCTGGGGAAAAAAAAAAAAACTGTTTCCAACATGGGCCTTTCACAGCTCAAAATCTGCTTTTCACAAGCTTCATTACATCAACTCTTCACAGCCTACTTCAAATGGTGCTGCTCACAAACAATAGAAAAACGGCAGCTTGCAGAAAAATACACTAGCCACTGTAGAGACCTATTTTCTACCTCCTTCAGAACATCTTAGAGTTAATTTTTTAACACAGCTTCAGCAGGCTTCACACCAGCAATTGAAAATTCCACAAACCTCATTTAAAATTCTGCAAGCCTGACTAGATAAACTTGTGGCAAATGCAAAAAAGTGCATGCTTCAAAACACCCATACACAAGCAGCAAGCAGAGAGAAATTCAAGTAAGTTACAAGGGGAAGATGGAATCTTGAAGTGATGAAAGAGATCTGGAGCAAAGGGTGTTGCTGGAGCTAACATTTCGACACGCGGACTTGGCGGAACTTTGGCTCAAGCAACACCTCTTGTTCTAAGGATTTTTCACAACAGCAGGGGGAGCCGCATTAACGCTTTACCTTGAAGGACACATTAAAGATGCTGTTAATGTGTCCTTCAAGATAAAGCTGAAATTACATGTGCTAGTATATGCTCTGCGTTTTTTTGCACCCTGCCACAGCATTACAGTTGAACCCCTTAATAAGAGAGGAATGCTCTGTACAGAAGTTCTTGTCTTTTATATGAGATGTCTCTTACTAGCAGGGTACCATGTATGCATTTTCCCATCAACCTGTATTTTAACTGCAGGCACATTGGTGTCCCTTATACCCATTTGTCTCTTATATCAGTGTCTCTCATAAAGGGGTTCTACTGTATTCGCTACTCAGCAACAACAAACTGCCGTCAACGTAGCACCACGTACCTTGAAGCCACCGGACCTGAGTCGCCGGACCGTAGCCCTTGTCGTTGCGGGCCGCAATGCGAAATATGATGGCTGGCTTGCTGGTGGTGTCCACGTGTGCCGAAGCCAGGGAGGCTGAGGCCACAGTGCAGGCTGCCTGGGGTCCACAGTAGACTCGCACAAACGCCAGTTGTGATGGGTTCGAGGTCACCGTCTTGGCAGGACCTGCGCCATCGCCAGTCGTCGCCGAACGCACTGCCAAGTACACAGAGTACTCGGTCACATCACCAGGATTACCCTGCGGTGCCTCCCATGAGAGGTGAGCACCGTCAGAGCCTTTGCTGATCTTGATCGCTGAAGGTGCGCCGGGGTATCCGGGCAGGCAAGTCTTGAACGCGGACACTTCACTCCAGGGTCCCCGACCACAGGCATTGATGGCGGCCACTCTGAACTTGTAAGCAGTGCCAGGAAGCAGCTCCTGTTTTTGCAGCATCGAATGGGACGCTAGAGACACGACGTCTACATCTGTTTCATCTTTCCTCTGCTGCTCAGACTGTTCCGAAGGCAGATAGAAGTGCGAAACAAGGCACGACGTCTCCTTGAACACACCCACGTCGAACCACATGCCATCACGCTTACCAACGCTGGCTGGAGGTGGTGCTGGTGCAGTGGCTTTTAGCTCCACCTGTGCACGTGGAGTGGGCAAACATCACAAATCGATAATACGAAAAGGTTAATGCAGCAATAAATGTCGATCACAAATGTAGCCTACCCGCCACTGTTCACTCTTGCTAACACATGGCTTGCATTGATTTGACAGACACCAGCGCCTTTGGATAAAAGTGCTTTCTGCAAACCCTAAACTCTAAAAAAATAATTGATAACACAAGTGCTGCGTGCAACCTACTCATTATGAAAAATGACAAATAATTCATTACTTGAAGGCCTGATAAGTACACACATATGGCACTACACAGTATAGCCCCAGAACTCAATTTTTATAGTGAGACAATTCAAAACTGTGCCTCACATATTTGTCAACTAAGCAATGTGCAAGAAACCATCATAGGAAACCTAGAATAAAATTCATGCATGCATTGATAACAACTGCAACATAACTCAGCATTTCCCACATGCACAGCTTTCAAACGTGCTCCAATACTCAAGCAGCTGCTTACGGGAGGCTTGACATCCTCTTCAGTTTTGATGGAACCTGCTAGGCCATTGGTGGCAGCAGCAGCAGCAAGCACAGGAGCCGTAGTTGGAGTCGGAGGAGTGCTACTAGCTGTTGAAACGGCCGCCGACGCCAACGTGGTCAACGGGTCTGTACACATGGCAGACTCGGGTGCTGCCGCCGCACTAGCAGCAGTAGTAGTATTAGCTGTAGTAGCGGTTGCAACAGCAGCAGCAGTGGCAGAGGCAGCGGCTTCCGCAGACGGTTCAGCACCTACAGACGTCGCTGCAAAGTCACACGACGCGTTTCACCAACTGTCCCAAAAAATCATTCTAAACCAAATTTTTAAAACCGAGTAAAGGTAGGTCCCAACCTTCCATTCTACATTTTTTTTAAATGCTTATTGAAATTTGATATTTTATAGCTCCTTGTCCAAGAACATTTAGCAAAAATAATCATGTAGTTATCTTGAACCATTCAAAAGTTATTGACTGTTTCCTCAACCCCTTCAAGTTGCACACACCATGGCATGTCACATGGGCACATTTCTTCTCACAGCAAGAAAACGCCTTTGCCACATCACTGTCTGGGAACATGCGTCGAAATAACTTCCCTGCTTGGGTTGACGACCAGTACGAGAAGTGGGATGTAACGACTTTCAAAATCCAAAGAATTTCTGCGTCAGTGACAAGCTCGTGCGTTTTAGAAGCATCGTTCAGGCTTGGCGACTGTAACAGAGACGCTGTAGTGGACTGCCCTGTCGACCCAGGCGTCGGTAGCTTTCTAGCACACTTCCTTGCCCCTTTTTTGACTGCGCCAATATGCTTGGCACTATTCATGTGGCTTTTTAAAGCAAATTCATCCACTGAGAGGTGAGCTGGGTTGCAGCATTCAAGTATGAAGCCAATCATATCAAAGGCAGTTGTTCCATTTAAGCAGCAGTTCCATTTAACAGATTTCCATTAACTGAGAGTCCACTGTAACACATCACTTGCACTAACGCGTAGAAGGCATGCTCATTCCAAAAAGTGCTGGCAGCACAACGACACGACTAGGTTGAGCCCGCACACAAGTTGGACAAAAACGATGGGCATGCGATAACTATAGAGTAACTGCGCTCGCAGCAGATTTTACTTCCGCTAGAACCAGCGGTGACGTTCCCAGTCATTGTCACAATGTGTATGGTGAACGCAGCTCCGAGACGCACATTGTCAAATGTTGCCAGCTGCCAACCAAGAGTCAGCTAAAGGTATAAAAAAAAAACAAAAGTTCAGCATCGAAAACCACTTTCAGTATTACAAATACCAATTGAAATGCATCCTTCAAGAAATTCAAGCTTTTTCAATGACTTCTCCAAAACTCAAGGTTTTCAAGGGCCTTAAAGGGCCACTCACCAGGTTTGACAATTTTGAGCTGACAAGCACAATGCGTAGACGAGGCGTTCATGATCACGTCTGCCAAAATTTGCAATGCTGCGCGCCGCGGAAATGAGTCAAATTTCAAGATGAACGCTGCTCCTCATCCCTTCTGCTGGCGCGCGCCCAGAGAATAAGGGTATGATTTGCGCGTATGAATGGCCCTACGTACACGGCAATGCAGTGAAGTTGGTCCTCTATGTAGACGACTCTTCTCTGACGTTGCAAACAGTGGCACGTGACATGGCAAAGATTATTTAACACGGCATGCATAGTTTATGTAATTTGTTACTTGAAGAGATTAATAAAGCTCTAGATAAATAATCAGACGCAATAAGGGAATGTGAGAGTCTTTTTTCCCATTTTTCTCCCGTGAATCGCAACAAGATGTAGGGCTAATGTGTCGGCGTTTCGCATGCGTTGGCGTACCTGCAGTCGGCGCATCGAGCAGACGACCGCCGTGGACCGCTCCTATGCGTTCGCGCACTCATTGTGCTCATCTATTCTATCCCGTCTAAGCCAGCATCTCCAAACCATATCGCAGAAACAGGCAGAAAACCACAAAATAACGCTGGTCAACAAAACAACGCCGCTCGTGTGCTCGGGGGTTGGACTTGTTTGGGCACGTCATGCGCATGTGACCTTTTGGTCGAGTGCCTGAGATGGTGGGGAAGAGATTTGGCTTGCGAAGGCTACGCGGAGGAGCGGCACGGGTTCTGAGCTCGCCTCCTCTCATGCTCGTTTCACGCCGCTTCAAAAAACCTGTTTTCTCCGCTTGTGATGAACCAATTCAGAAAACTTTTGAAACAAAATGTTCCTCATCGGACACCCAACAACTTCCACTAACTAAAATTTGGTATGGGGCCTGGTGAGTGGCCCTATAAAAACAAAAATTTGCAAGAGTATTCAAGGATCTGTGCGCACTTTGCTGCCAGGGCTCTTTCATACACGATTTCGATTTGTTAGACGGTTTTAACCTTTAAGGGGGGACGTGGCCTTTGAAAACCGAAAAATCGCGAAAAAGTCTGTTTTCGAAAAAAACATATTGTTGGGCTGTACGTCACATAAACTACCTGTTCAGTAAATATCAGTGTCTAATTCAACCCCGAAGTGCAAAAAAATGCTATTTTCGAGGCCACCGCAGCGTCAAAGACACGCGCAAAAGCTAAAATCAAACTAAACTTGCGCGCGCGCCAGTCCGGGGGCATGCGGCCGTCCCGTGCAATTTTGGTCTTGTTTTGACTGCGAATTTTTTCTTTCTCATTTGCCGCCTTTCAAAATGGCGTCAACGACGCAGTTGAGATGCTATCGGCACTTCCCCGAAGATGCGATGCGGAGCACCGATTGGCTACAGCAGCTCATTCATATCTCATGAGCGAAAGCGCGCCCGCCATTGGCTGCTGCGCTGGAAGCGGGGGCAATCCCTCTTTGTGATGGCACGTCCGGCGCGCTTGTCTCTCTGTTGCTTTCTGCTCCGTCCGCATCGATAGACATTTGCTTACGGGCAGTTTTTGCCTTGCGCCTTATTTTCAACCAATTTCTTTCCGTTTTTCTTTTTGCACAAGTTCTGTGCCCTTTATATTTATTGCTGTGCGTGAAACCGGCAACAAAGCCGAAGACGATGCGCTAGTTCGGAGTGCAAAAACACGTTATGCGGATTCTACAAGAATCGAAATTTCGCTTTTCTGCTGCAAGTGCCCAGTGCGTAGATGCTTGTGGCGGCGAAAGTGTGCTGTTGGCTGCCACCTGTCCAGAATCCGACAAACCATGAATACCTGGAGCCACAAATGTATCGAACGTGTCCGAGATCGCCGGATCCAGCAGATGCTCTGAATCGGTACCATCGAACGTGACACTGAATGTTGTTAACATCGCCAGACCAAGAACTTCGTCTGCATCAGGGCCAATGGTGACCCTTCATCTGCGGACACATTTCGTAACTAAGGAAGATATCGATGCGAATGCGAGACATCGAGACGCCGTTCATGCTGAACTCGAATCTACGCCAGCAACGCAGAAAAAATTTGAACTGATGCAGCAGGCTCTCAAAAAAGATGCCCTACGTCTGAAAAAAAAATTCTAAACAGCACTTAGACAAAGTTGGAGGGAAGACAAAAGAGGAAAAGAGTGCACGAGGACACTTCAAGCTTCTCTGCTGGAGCTTTTTGAGGAAAACACATGTGCTGAACTTTCAAAGCCCGTTTTCTCAAAATGGATCGTTCAGCTATTTGTGGTGCTGAGGAAAGCGATTTCTCAAGAACTACTAATCAGATTTGTGTGCCATTTCTTTTATTTTGCTCCTGGATGAGTTTTCCAGGGTGTAACAAGCTTTTTTTTTTTAATTGGTGTGCGATGATGTTTATTCGAACAGAGAAGTCGCAATGAAGTCGCAACGGAAAATTGGCGTACGGCAAGTCTGGCAAAGGCGGCACAGGTTCTCGCGCAATCAGAGCACAGGGTTTTTCATTCTCTTTGGAAGGTGCATACGCGTTAGTGCGTATGCTCCACTACAGGTGTCATTATTAATAAACAATTATTTTTGATAAATGTCATACCCACTGGCTACGCAAATTCAAAGCTGCATAAAATATTTTTGGAGGAAAAATTGAAAAAAAAAAAAAATGGCTCTTTAGCGCCCTAGGATATCTATCCAGGGATGACTACAAATAATTTCAGCCTTCTGGTATGTCCGGGGATTTCTTCCGGCTCTTCCTCAGGCACACAAGTGAACCACCCAGTTAGACCTCAGCAACTCTAGAACCCCTGAACACAATTTCATGAAACTTCACAGTTTTTCTAGTTTTCATGTAGTGAATATAGCCTGAAAGTCTCATTAAAATATCGTGAAAAAAAAAGTTCGGTTTTCGGGGTAGCCTCCCCCTTAAGGAAGAAAGTTAACTCCATGAAATATGGCTAAGTATAGGAAGTTATGGAATCGATATATCAAACGTGGATCCGCTGCAATGCATGTGCATACGAGTCAGCTAGAGACACAAAACGAGCTCGAAAAAAATTGTTTCGGCTCACCCAAGAAAAGAACATGCCATTTTAAATGAGCACTGACAAGAAAAACATGCCATTTTAAATCAGCACTGACACAAAATTTTGAAGACGAGATAATGAGCGAGATAGATTTATGTGGAGACATACGCAACATCTACGAGATTGATGATTAATATGTGGAGTTTAAGATCTCAAAACCACCATATGATTATGAGAGATGCACATCTACGAGATATCAACGACAAATATGGCCTAGAACATTTTTCATGTCAATGACATTGCGCAACTGAGCGTGATGCAAAGCGCCTCGCGATACAAAGCGCCTCGCGACAACAAGATCCATGCAGGGGCAATGTAAACAAACCTACGTCATGAGTTTGTGTTGACCAATTGCTGGCACGCACCTTACACTTGCCCTACCTTTCATTTTTTTTTTTCCTTTATGAATATATTTTTTTTTTTTGGCCCAAGGATCTCACCAGGCATGCCACTTTTTTGGGGAAGTTGCTTGCTGACCAAACGCTAACATACTTTGGTTCACTCATTCATTCAGTTACACTAAGGATCCATTATGGTATGAAAACAAAGACAGTAGACGGCATATACATAACTCGGACTAGAGAACAAGTTTTCTATCAGGTATAGGAGTAACATGGTCTGTCCTTTTCGGAAATCTTTGTGAGAAAAGCAACTTGCCTCCGTCAGCTGCTTGTTCGGCTGATGTCGCCGGTTGCTGAGGAGGTGGATCATCTACACACATCTGGTCTGGAGGCAGCGCACCAGGCGTCTCCAGAGACAGGCCGCCTGCGGCCGGCTCTTCCTCCCCTTCACCCTCGGCTAAGAACAGGCGCAATCAAAATTCTAGCATGAAACTTGGGCACATGCCTAGCATGGCAAATGCACTAAAACCCGACAAGGGTGATAAGGTGGTCTAAGTGGTGCTATGTTAACAAGATGCATCCCTTCAGCAGACGTGACAAGCACTTGTCTGTATCTGTAACAAGATAAAAAAAATCCTTGCGAGAGTCATTAAATTAAATGATGCTATATAGAAACCCTCTAGCAAATATGTTCCCCAGCAATTCTTACTCCTTCAACTTCTCACCAGTTCAAGCCTACTTTTTACCCTGCACTTTTGCCTTGTTTGGAGAACTGAAAGCACGGTAGTTTTCGACAGAGGAGCTTTAGTCAGTGCTCATTTGAAGATGCAGCCCATGTGAGGAAGGTTGAAAAGGTGACAAGCGCATCCCCACATGAAATTTCTTAACAATTCTCTCAGTCACAATTATTACCACAAATCGGGCTATGGTACTGCAGGTATTTACACAGTAATAAATACAACAAACTCCCCAGAGTGCTTTACAGGCCACAATGAGCAAATTAGGCAGAATAATGAGAGGAGAAAGAGGACTCACGTTTTTCCTCTTCCTCATGCTCAGGTACATCAGCAGGGGCAGCATCAGGGTTGCCAGATCCCTGCTCTTCAGGTGGCTCGTCCCCCCCACCACTTGAGTCCGCTGGTGGAGGCGGGGCTGGCGGCTCCTGTGCGTCGTCTCCCTGCCCTGGTGGCTCTTCCCCTTCTCCTCCACCCCCACCTCCACTGTCAACTGGAGCAGAGTCATCACCTGGTGGCTGCCCATTTTCCCCCTCACCCTCTTCACCCTGGTCCGAGCAGGCCACTACACAAACACCCATGCGTATGGGCACAGGCCGCAGCAAGGACTTGTTGTGAAGCCCGGGGGACACTCTGCATGGAGACTCGGGGCTGGCGCAGCGAGGCTGCTCAGGTGAGTCGTAGTTCTCTGGTGTACCACAATGAACACCATCAGTGCAAGGCTCAGGTGTACCGCAGTGCATACCATCTGTGCAGGGCTCAGGTGTACCGCAGTGCATACCATCTGTGCAGGGCTCAGGTGTACCACAGTGGACGCCATCTGTGCATGGTTTTGGTGTGCCGCAGTGGACGCCATCTGTGCATGGTTCTGGTGTGCCGCAGTGGACGCCATCTGTGCATGGTTCTGGTGTACCGCAGTGGATGCCATCTGCACAAGGTTCAGGTGTGCCGCAGTGGATTCCATCAGTACAGGGCTCTGGTGTACCACAATGAACACCATCTGTACAGGGCTCCGGTGTACCGCAATGGATACCATCATTACAGGGTTCTGGTGTACCGCAATGGATACCATCAGTACAGGGCTCTGGTGTACCGCAATGGACACCATCTGTACAGGGCTCTGGTGTTCCACAGTGAATGCCATCCGTGCAAGCTTGAGCAGACTGGACACCATCGTCACAAACACCTTCAGCAGTGATCTTCACAGGCACCATGGTGTCAAGCAAGGCCTGAGCGGACTGCATGGCTGCTGGATCTGTAGTGCTGTCAGCATCAGTCTCCATTGGAACTCCCTGAAATATTAGCAAAGAGTTACTTGAGAACCCCACATGAGGTCAGAAGCTACACAAACCTGCCCATAAGAAATGCACAAGTCCAATACTGTGCGCTATAGTTACCCAAACTTTTAAGTACGCTCAATGCAATAAATAACCCAACAAATGAGCTTCTCTTATTTAAATCACTCATTCGCCCAATAGTAGACTACGCATCTGTCGTTTGGAACCCGTACAAGCAGTGCGAGATTAATAGGTTAGAAGCAATTCAGAAAAAAGCTGTAAGATTCATATGTCATCGCTATGACCGCAGCTTTTCACCCTCTTCTACTCTTTCTTCACTGAACTTAACTTCGCTCTCTTCGCGTCGCCGAATAGAGTCATTAAAATTCTTGCATAGCATTGTGACGTCTTTGGTTAAACTTTCAAATGACAAGGACTACATAAACTTTGCACCTCAGTCAACGACAAGAAGCTATCACAACTTAAACTTAACGCATTACTATGCTCGAACTAACATGTTCAAGTTCAGTTTTTTCCCCCGTTCTATTGATGACTGGAATTCGTTACCTGGTACTATTCGTTCACGCCCATCATCCAATATTCAAGCCGACATCCATGACATGCGTCTGTAACATACCCTCATCTATTTGCCATTGGTGTTAGCTCTTGAGTTGCATTGTTTCTTTATTCTATTTTATTCATGTTAATCACATGTTTGTGCACTTTTGACTTTGTATAACCACACATCTGTATTACGTTACCTGTTTACATAATTTTCATTCCTGTCTGTTAAAATTCCGCGTATTTTGTACACCCACTCCTGCCATAGCGCACTTAGCGCTGCAGTATGTGTAAATAAATAAATAAATGTATTCCGAAGTGATAGATGGCTGATAATGGAACCAGCACATGTACCTTTCCGACGCCGACCAGTGTTACCAGAAGTGTTCTCGATCATGCAGAAGACAGAGCAATGGGAATGCTAAATTTGGTCAAAATGTTAAATTTTTCAAATAATTTTTTTCTGCAATTCCAAGACTTTTACCTGTTGGTAAAATATTAGACCATCACATGCACCAGAAGTAAAGAAAAGGGCATAACAGTGTGCTGCCATCAAATACAGTGAGAAAATTGGGCTTTGGAAAATGCAAATTCGTAGCTTTCCCCAGGCAAAGTGCTACCATATTGACATATTCGTAAAGAGGACAGATCGGAGCTTAAGAAGACTACAAAGCTGTACTTCTCCAATGAGAAATTCATGACTCTTTACCTGAAGATCACTCTCATCAAGCACCGTGTCCACAGCTGTTGGCTGGGCTGAAATATAAACGACAGAAATCATGACTGGCATCAAAGAAGCCCCTAATACCAGTCCCAGCACACATCACAGACAAGCTTATCGTATGCACTCAAAAGAGATTTTCCGAATTTTATACACGCACCATGTTTTGCAGCTAGGCAAATACAGTCGACTCCTCTTCAACTGAATTCGAAGGGAATCCATAAAATTGTTCCATGTATCAGAAGTTTCATTTAAACAAAGTACACTTATTTAGTGAACCGAGACCTTTATTCAAATTGCACAAATTTCACCTTACTCATGAGGATGAGTAGGAAAAAAAAAAGTGAGGAGTGGTTTGTTTGGCAAGCTTGAGTTGTTGTTTCACATGGTACGCACCCATGCTTGAAAAACTATCCAGAAATTCTGGACAAGCCGCATGCTCAAAATAGCGCTGCAAACATTCACCAGCCTCTTTAGTAAACTAAACTTCATAGCTCTGAATGTGGCCATTGTGTGCCCACACAAAAGACTAATTTAAAAAACTTGCATCAAGAGTAATCAAAATCTGCTCCCTGTGTTGTGTGCTCCAAACATATAGCTTCATGCTAAAAAAAAATAAATTAGTCTGCTATCTGTAATAGTTTCCGATATATTGCAGGAATTTTCATGCAGGGTGTACGAAATTGCCATTTTGAGAAAATCAAGAAAAAACAAAGAATTCTAACATTTTTAACCGTAACAATGTATTTACTTAAAATTATATCGTCATTAACATATATATATATATATATATATATATATATATATATATATGGATACTAGAAAGGCTAAGAAGTGCAACGCTGCAAGGTGATCGAAAATTGAACGAGTACTTCTAGAAATAAAGCACAATAAAGTTCATTGCATGTAACCAAAAACAGAAATATTTATTTAAAATTAAAAAAAGATGAAGCTGCCCATTCGAAATCGGCTCTCAGCATTGTTTTTTGTGCACATTTAGCTACACTGTGCAAACATAATTACAGCTCTAGTTGCCCTAGGTCCACTTTTACCGAACTAGCAAAAGAAATTGGTCAAATTCTGTGCTTCGAGAAAAATGCTGTTAAAACTTTATTTCGCCGTTCCGAGAGAAAAAATATCATGGCACACATACCGTATAAACCGGAATATAAGTCGAGATATTTTCAATAAAATAATAAGCTAAAGTTGCCCCTCGTTTTATATAGCGGTGTCTAGCCGAAAGTACACCGCTGTCTGGCAACATGTGGCTTGCACATGCTTGAGAAGCCAGAGGCGGCCATATTTGCATCCAAATCATATCGCAGGCTGTTTATTTATCCTCTGTGTTTTTTTTTTTTTTGTGCTCGTGATTTGCTTCCGGTGTTTTAATTTTCGCTCCCCTTGAGATTGCGCTGCATTTTTAGAGGTATTTTGTTTTTCGTTCACTGAATATGAGTAGCGATATGAGGAGGCAGTACTCAGTTGCGTTTAAACTAGATGTTGAGTTCGCAGATGCGGACGGGAATATGGCTGCTCAGCGCCGCTTTAGTGTATCGGAAAAAAAGCGTGCGCTATTGGAGGGCGCAGAAAAGGAAGCTGCAGATGTGCAATTCTCGAAAAATGTTGTTTCGTGGACGAAGTGCCGTTCATCCGCAGCTGGACTTTGTGCGGAAAGTTCGTGCGCACTCGCTGCCAGTGACCGTGGATACCATTCGTAAGAAAGTAGTGCAACTCGCTCGAGAAGCTGGCTCACGAGAGAAGAGTTTCGTGCACCAAACTCTTGGGTGCGTCAATTTATGCGATGCAAAGGATTTTTTTTTTTTTTTTTCGGCGGCACACATCCGTCAGAAGTTGCTCGGGGAGTTCGAAAACAAGCTTATAACTTTCAGCACTTCGTGAACCGGCTTCGGGAGCAGAACGACTACATGATGGAGCAGATTGGCAACGCCGATGAAACCCCCCGTGTGGTTTGACATGCTTTCGTCGACCACGATCACGCAGCGTGGCGCCAAGGATGTGAGGCTGTTGTCCACTGGCAACGAGCACTCGCGCTTCACCGTCATGCTGGCATGCACGGTTAATGGTAGAAAGCTTCCACCCTTCATCATTTTCAAACACAAGACAATGACGAAGGAAGTGTTCCCGCCGGTGTTGTCGTTCGCGTCAGCAAAAAGGGATATATGTACGAGGCCATGATGCTCAAATGGATAAGAGTAGTGCGGAACCGTCGGCCTAGTGCACTGCTGCGTCTTCGCAGCATGCTGGTGTTGGATGCGTTTCATGGTCACTTAAGGGGGGACGCGGGTCTTAGAAAAGTAAAAAATGGCCAAAAAATCGATTTTGAGAAAAACGCATTTTTCGAATCTTTGAACCTATAAGAACCTCTCCTCAAATTATTAACGCTAAATTCGATAAAAAATAGGTTAAAATCTATTTTCAAACCATCACGGGAGTTGCAAAACAACCCGCAAAACAGAAAATTTGTTTTGCACTCCGTCGGCGCCTGCTCTCGTGCGTGTTATCTTGTCTGCTACCCGCTCGTGTACCGACGTCGCCGACGTATACGTCTTTCTGCATTTCGCCGGCATGGCTTGGGAAGCTCGCCTGAAGAAGAACACTCGTCAAGCTTTCGGCAGGAAACGAAAGCGAGCGTGGAATGTGCGGCAGAAGGGAGCGGCCTGCGCGCCGCCGAGAACGGCGGAGATGGCTGAGGCAGCGCATTCTGACGACAGCGGGCTGTCGGAAATGCCTGTTATTGCGGAGGCAGCACATTCAGACGACAACTCGCTGGCGCAAGTGCCTGTTATTTGCCTGTTTGCAAGTGTTGCCAACAAAGGCAACACTTGCAAAGCGACATAAGCCTGCAAGAGACACTGCATACAGACCTGGCATGCTGTAGAATTGTAAGGATGTCTGGGACAAAAATGTGTGTTTTACTTGAAATAGTGTTTTATGTATAAAAGGGCGATGCTTTTATATATAACATGTGTCTTCCTTTGGTTTTTCAGTGCACTAGAACAGCCACAAAGTTGTAGACTGGGTTCCTTATACTGATTCAATGGCCAGCACACAGTTTTTACAAGAGCTGTGGCAAATATTTTGGGAAGGTGCATTGACACATTTGGTACAGCCATACTCACATAATGTAGAGCTATACAACGGTGCCATTTTCATTGCTCTAGCTTCACGTTAGCAAAAATTACAGTTATTAGAAACTTTAAATGCGTTTTTCTCAGTTCGATGTTTTTGTGCACCACACTAAACCTTAGGGGTTTTTCTTATATGTTACTGTTGATTGAGAATGACAAACTTGGTATCATTTTATTTGTAATAACATTACCTATGGAGTGATGCTATTTTGATTACTCTAGAAGCATACTGTTAATTACAATTATGGATAGTAATGAGCGAAAATTGAACAGAATATCCATTGTAAGTGCTGGTCTGTTTTCTTATCTATATAATGCCTAAAAATTAATAAAAATGGCATCACCCCATACAGAAAGCCCTCAGCATTGGGGCTATGCATTTATTTTTTGGATCTGGCTTGATTAAGTTGCCAAAAAGCCCCCAATGAAGTGCATAATTAATTAAATTACAGATGCTAATATCTTTTTATCCACTGAAGCTATTTCAGAAACAATTACATATTTGAAATCAGCATGAAAAACTGTCCAAGATGGTGAGGTTTGGTCAAGATTGAGCCAAAAACAGAAAAAAAATTTTAAAGACCCATGTCCCCCCTTAAGGGGAGATGCGGGTCGAAAAATCGCGTTTTTTGCGAAAATTTCCACTTTTGAGATATTGCTGCTAAAATCACTTTTGATCATTCAACTATCATTTCCCCAAAGGTCATAGCTGAATTCAAATGAGAAAGTGGTAAAAAATCGATCTGCGCTAGTGAAGGTAGCTGCCGAAGTCGCGAATTCACGCATCCGACGGCTATTTTTGAAAATCCGCCACTCGGCAACACGATGACGTCCGCCATCGGGGTTTGTTCGGTGGTGTAGATCAAGGCTCCTTCTAGTGTACAGGTGTCCCCCTAGTTTCGTATTTTAGTGAGGAATTTCACAAAACAGTCGTTTCCAAGTCGGTTTGCAGCCAAGCTGCAGCCGCTTCGCGCATCTCTACCGGTCACATGGTACGCTACCGAGGCCGCCATTGGCTACATCTGATCGGCCTCGCTCGCTGAGCGCTTGCGACGATCGGCACTTGCCGTGCGTTTCTATGTTTTTCCGAGTTCACCATGGATAACTCGAAGAAGCGAGACTTCCGAGCACGAAAGTTTGCAAGCAAGAACAAGTACCAAGGGCGTCGACGTAAACCGAAGCGCAAAGCAGCGGTAGAAGAATGCGAGCCGCGGGCCACTAGGCCTAATCAAGGCAGCGGGGATACGGCGGCTTGCGGGAACTTTGACGAAATCGACGCCGCGATCAAGTTCATCAGCGCATCAGAAAAAAATATTGAACAGTTCGAAAGCGAAAGAACGAAGAGTGTTTGTGGCTCTGTGAGCGGAGTATTTTGTGACATCGGCGCACTGACATCGATGGTAAGCCGTGCTGTTTGTCCAACATGCCACACCGCTGGACTCGTCGTTCGCGACACCGCAAGTAAACGTAAGGGCCTCTCTCGTTCCTCGAGCTGCACTGTGATAACAGTGAGTGTCCTGAGTCAGTGGTTTCTGCCGCGCATAGTTCGCGGCGTGTTCTGCCGGAAAGACAGCCCACCGATGCCGGTGATGACTGGAGCTACCGAAGCGGCAGCTCGCGCGACAGCTTCGCTGTCAATGTGAAGGTAGTTGTGGCTGCGCGTGCAATAGGCATTGGGCATGAACAGCTGTCGCGTTTTTGCGCTATTCTTGGACTGCCAATACCTATGCATCATAAGACTTTTATTGCAATCGGCAAAAAAGTTCATGCTGCAGCTACCAAAGCTGTGCAAGAAAACCTGGCGAAAGCGCGGATGATAACTAAAGAGAAAGTGGATGGGGCTGATGTTGCTGTCATGTATGATGGCACATGGCAAAAAAGAGGGCACAAGAGCCACAATGGCATCGGCACTGCTGTGTCTGTGGACACTGGTTTGTGCCTAGATTTTGAAGTGCTATCGAATTACTGCCTTGCCTGTAGCCGGCACCAGGACTTGGGTGATGAGGAAGAAATATGGCAAGCATTCCACACACCTGTCTGCGAAAAAAATACAGAGTGCTCCTCTCATGCCATGGAGACTGAGGCAGCTTTGCGCATATGGGGCAGGACATCCTCATACACAACACCATTGCGCTTCACCAAGTTCCTCAGTGATGGGGACAGCAAAGCTTATACCGCTGTCGCTGAGGCCAAGGTATATGGTGAAGCTGTTGTGGACAAGGAGGAGTGCACAAACCATGTGGCCAAGCGTCTAGGCACTGCACTTCGGAAACTGCCAACAAGACTTCCACGAGGGGAAAAGCTGACAGATGGCACAATTCAGAAGCTGCAGAACTATTACCGTATTGCAATCACAAACAACAGAGGTGATATTCTGAAAATGCATCGTGCCATCTGGGCCTCATATTTCCATTCATCATCGAGCAACACAGCAGGCAGCCACCGATACTGTCCAGAAGGGGCGACTTCCTGGTGCAAGCATAGGCGAGCTGAAGCGCTTGGGGAGGCCCCACCCGACCACACACCAATCTTGACCAAGGCTCAAGGATTGGCTGTGCTTCCCATTTACAAGCGGCTCACAGATGAAAAGTTGCTGGTGCGTTGTATCCAAGGGAAGACCCAAAACGCTGCAGAATCTTTGAACAGCAAAATCTGGTTGTTGTGTCCGAAGACTAAGTTTGCCTCCCGGACAACAGTGGAAACTGCAGCTGCTATGGCCGTGTTGTGGTTCAATAAAGGACATTCAAGCTTTGAACACGTGCTAGAGGAGCTTGGTGTAGTCCCACCAGATCAACTGATCACCCTGGGCCGATCCCGTGACCAGAGGAGAATCGAAAGAATGTCTGCGTGTGAAACAGCCGAGGCAAGGGCCCATCGGCGGAACGTGGCAAAGAAAGCGCGCCTTGATGACTCCCTTCTCAAGCGGCGAGAAGGATCCACATATGGAGCAGGACAATTTTAGGTGCTCTAGCTGTGTCCCTTCTATGATATCACCAAGTTTTGTGCAAATCGCACTGTGTAATCATGAGTAAACATATTTACAACTTTCAAATGCATTTTTCTCGATTTCCATTTTGAGGTAATTCTCTCATCTTGTGCACAATCTTTTTTAGGCATAAAATAGTCCTATCTTGATGAAATTTTGCACAGAGCTTAATCAGCCACTCTAGAATACAAGTATCTACTTTAGGTTGCATTATACATCACAGATTTTTTGTTACACAACTTGGTACACTGATAGAGAGATGTAAAATATGCATTTAGTACTTTTAATTTTTTTTTTTAATGTAGCAAATAAATTTTCTGTTTGAGGTACTTTTCTGTATTGTACTGCTCAAGTGCAGCAAAATGAGCCATTTTGCAATTCTGTGTGAAAATTTTTAGTAAGCTTTATTATGTGCACAAAAAACACTATATTTTGATATCAAAGTTGTAGTAACTCCGGAACTACTATAGCTATCAAACAAATAATTGCAGTTATGAAATCAGCACTGCAAGCTTTACTAACACCTAAAATTTCAAGGAGCTGGGTTATGAAATAAAAAAAAACCTTTTTCGAGTAGCATCTCCCCTTAATATCTTTATCCACTGAAGCTATTTCAGAAACAATTACATATTTGAAATCAGCATGAAAAACTGTCCAAGATGGTGAGGTTTGGTCAAGATTAAGCCAAAAACAGAAAAAAAATTTTAAAGACCCATGTCCCCCCTTAACCAACGCTGTGAAACACGCACTCGGCGACGGGAAAACCGATCTCGCCGTGATACCAGGTGGTATGACGTCCACCCTCCGGCCGCTCGACGTTGTGCTGAACAAGCCGTTCAAGGACCAAGTGCGGCTGGAGTACCAAGAGTGGATGTCCAGCAACAACCCAAAGACACCGACGGGCCGCCTACAGAGGCCTCCGCCTGTGACTGTTTGTGCTTTCCGCTTGGCGTTTGTGTTTGTGCTTTCCGCTTGGCGTTCCTTGCCAGATTCTATGGTGAAAAAGGCTTTCAAGAATTGTTGCATCAGCAACTCGCTGGATGGCACGGAGGACGACGCACTGTGAGAGGCGGCCAGCGACAAACTCTCTTCTTCGGAAGACAGTGGTGCTTGGTCGGACGAATAGAAGCAGTGGCGATGGTGGTTGAGGGGAGCTTCGACGATCGGGGTGCGGTGTGCCTAATTCGCAAATAAATGTGGTTAGGCAGTTTTGGGTTGTTTTTTTTTTTTTTTCGGTGACCTGAACATAGGGATCGACCAATGTTCCCACTCGAGCTATAGTCCGGTTTATACGGTACTTTTAGTCAGTTAATATGCACCTAGAATGTAATAGGATTGTTTGCACGACCGTGTAGTTTCTTCTAGTCCTGTAGCAATTTGTCGCCGTGTGCTCGTCTGCCACAAGGCCGCTTATCAGTTCGGTGTCTGTAGTGACGGCGATGTGCGACGAATGTGCACACGTCATCCTTGATCCTTTGAATTACACGGCGATGTTTTCTGGCTTGTTCAGAATGAGTTACCCGTAGATGTCGCAAACCAAACTTGCTCCCTCGCTGATCAATTTCGAGGCTACATGAGTGCCGAGGTGTTAAGTTTCCTTTTCACAAAAGACTGCCGCATTTTTAAGTAAAGACCGCGACAACGTTGCGAACACGTCGTTAAAAGCAGTCTACCTGTTGCCAGTAGCCTCCATTGCGCGGTCGGCGAGCACGTTCACCAGGAACGAATTGAATTTCTGTTGTTCGTCGACGCGGGACGTACTCCACTCTTGACGACCCATCGCGCAGTTCAAGGTCCTTTTGTCAGGCAAGGGGAATCGCGGCATCAGCACGTTAAGCGATAAGACTGCACTTCCGTCCCGTCACTACAAAGATTGATATCTCTTGTAGCTTCACTTCTGCTTTTTACTTGCCATCTTCTAACTGATGAGGCTTTACTGTAAAACAAAGCTGCCCTCAGTAACGTTGTTGGCAACCAATGGGCTCGTACGTGAGTTAGGCCAACACCAGTGACTCGGCGAACGCCGTTGACTGCGGCGAGTTCGTTATTCTTGTTGTCCTGAGCCATAGCGGGGCTCTTCCTGAACTTCACAGCCAACAAACGATCGCCACACCCGCTTCACAAATTACTGTAACACACAACTTCTGCTGTCTGCCGCAGGCAGACAGCAGCACCATGACAGAATGGCGCATATCCGTGCGCGTCACGATCGTGAAGCAGATGCCGGAAACGCACTTGGCCAATTGGATGCCTAGGTTTTGTCACGTGCCCCAAGCAGCCATTAGAATCGCGTGATAGTGCTTCTCGATGATGCATTTTTGCTGAAAAATTAATGAGCAAGGCGAGCCAGCGGTGGCGGGAAATTGAAAATGAAGAACGACCCTTCCAAACACGACCAAGATGAACACGATAGCTCATGTGCAACGGCAACAGTTCGGCGGGGAAAAAGCGCAATTTTAGCGTCAATTCGCGCTCACATTTATCTCACAGGGATGTTATGAATTGATTTTGCGCCAGAAATAATGACGCCAGAAGCTAGAAACTTCTCAGATAGGTGCAAAATGAGGTACAGATTCCGAAAATGTCAACTTCAAAAAGTCGACCTTTTTGCGATTTTTGGCCTTCTAAAACCTGTGTCCCCCCTTAAGCGAGTTTCATTTATTGGGAGTCCACTGTAAATTAGAGTAATGATCACAATAAACTAAGTGTCATACCTAACATTGTTATCATTACAGAACTTAGAGATCAGCATTTAAAACAAACAAATGGATAAGCATATTTAATAGTGAGGGACTCCATTGTGCCATGTGGATGCCACCAGAGACAGGCAAAAGATACCAGATTTTCTTGTCTATAAGCTTCACATTATGACGATTTGCAGGAAAGTTTCCAAAAATGATCCACATGTATTGCTGCAAAGCTAGCTTTTTTCTAGAGCTGTGAATGAGTGCCTGGAAGCCACCTTTGCAGACTCAAATACGTATTTTTCTTCTCGACATTGACAGTGTGAAAAAAAAAAAAGTTATCCACGAATAGTATGCAAGAACATGTGGTACTTCCAATACTAGAGTCAAAACTCACCAGCCGCCTGGACAAGAGCTGAAGACGGCAATGTCGTGTAGGTGACTCCACCACCGGCAGAATCTGGCTGTCCAGCAGCTGCCATCAACATCACCTTACCACCAGCGGCCGACAGACTTCCACTCAGCGCCTGGAAGCAAGCAGAATGTCACTAAACAATGGGCTCTATTTATTTACTAATTTAATCAAGTTACCCCTATAAAGGCCCTTATTTATTATTTATTATCTGGGGTTTGACGTCCGAAAACCACAATAACATAATGAGACGGGGTTGTGGAGGGCTCCGGAAATTTGAAAACGTGCACCGACGTTACACAGTACAATGGCCTCTACCGTTTCCCCTCCACCGAAATGCCGAGCACCCACGCCACTGTTTCACCGAGGCGGACCTTAAAGGCCCTCACGGTGAGGATACTGCATAGGGGACCTACGCACCATCCTGAAGTGGGCAACAATCTGCTAAAGGATGCACTCACAACCTCCAACTAAATTACTGGGGCTTCACCATCACAGGATATTGGGTAGGAATGGGCAAATAGTGATTTGGCTGAATAATTTCGAATACAGTGGACTCTCAGTACAGTATAACCTTATTGCACCAAATCTGCTCACCACAGACATTCAGATACTACACACTACATACACACATCGGGTGTCGGTGCTGGTTTCATTGCCCGACAAAGGGCTCAAGAAAGATCGGCTGCGTCTCTAGAAAGCACGCATAAGTGAACCACACAAAAAACAAAGGTCCAAGAAGAAGGTGGGGGGGGGGGGGGGGGGCACAAATACTATAGCCTCAGGGTGTTTGCATTTCAATTTAATAATGGTGCAACCTTTTCAAAAAAACTTTGTGAGCTTCCCCCCGCCTTTTTTTTTTTTTTTTTGACCACAACCGCATTGCTCGTGGAAAGCATTGCCAGACTATAGCTGGATCGATTTCCACTCATTGACGGTCCCATACTTGAAGACAGTCTTTCATTTTTGTTTTATTTTCACAATTACTGAATAGCACAGCTTGCTGAAGCACATGCAGCTAATGTTGTTTAAGGGGAGACGCGGGTCGAAAAGTCGCGATTTTCCAGAAAATTTTCGCTTTTTTTTTTCCAGCTGTATTGGCATCCTTGGACTATAATCTATTACTTCTGAAAATATCAAGCTGAAATTCGCACGAGAAATTATCAAAAAGTGCTTCCAAGTGGGCAGCGGTGACGCGAGAAATGCGCGAAAGTCGCGAAAAACGGCTAAGTTCGCGTCGTCCTGTCGCGAAAACGACGCGTTGGCCGCCATTTGCAATCGTGCACGCATGCTGCGAAGGCCGTATCCTTCATAATCCACTAGTAGCCAGTCTCGTGCCTTCACGCAGAATAAACAAAAAACGAGAAAAACAACGCGTACGTCACGCGTTTTGAATATCGCGGCACACAGCGCGAGGCCGCCATTGGACGGCGGTGCGCTCCACGCTCCTCCCCCTCCAATCTCTCCGGCAAAAGAGCGAAGCCTCGGACGTCGCGATCGAGTTTTTCTGCGTTTCTCTGCATTTTTGCGTCATGGCCAGCCCGAAGAAGTGCAGTTCAGATAATCGAAAGTTCAGAACTCGCCACAAGTATCGAGGGAAACGGCGTCAGACACTTCGCAAAGCGACAGCGAACGACGATGTCGCCCCCGACCAACGCCCCGACGCTCCGACTTCGGATAGGCCTAACACCGTCACCGAACCCTGCGACAGTGGTTGTGAAATAGCAGCTGCCGTGGAATTCGTCAGTGCATCCCAAAGGAAGATTGGATTCTTCGAGAGTGAACGTAGACCGGTAGATGCTGCTACTGCGAACATGCTGCTTTGCGAAATCGATGCGCTGACGGCACTTGTGGCAGGTGCGCAATGCCCAACCTGCCGCGAACGGAAGCTCGGCGTGCGAGAGGCAGCTGGAAAGCGCAAAGGACTTTCGGCATTCCTCGAACTGTGCTGTCAAAATTCTGATTGCCCTGAATCTGCACTTTCGTTCACGCACACGTCGAGACGTACTGCTTCGGCCGGGGACCAAGGAACGAGCGCTCGTTTTGACAGCGGCAGCTCGCGTGACAGCTTTGCTGTAAACGTGAAGGCAGTTCTGGCAGCACGCGCTATAGGCGCAGGCCACGACCAACTTTCACGATTTTGTGCGATTCTCGGTATTCCGAGCCCGATGCATCACAAGACATTCAACGGCATTTGCAAGAAGCTCCATGGTGCGGCGATGACGGCAGTGAGCAAAAACTTGCACCAGGCACGAAACATCACGAAGGACGCAGTCGGCGGCAGAGATGTGCCAGTCATGTTTGATGGCACCTGGCAGAAAAGAGGTCATAAAAGCCACAATGGAGTGGGCACAGTCGTGTCCCTGGACACGGGGCTCTGCCTCGATTTTGAAGTTCTTTCGAACTACTGCCATGCTTGCAGTATACACAGGGACCTTGGGGAGGATGAAGAGATATGGCAAGCTTTTCATCTTCCAGTTTGCCAAAAAAACACTGACTGCTCATCCCATGCAATGGAACCTGCGGCAGCTGTCAATATATGGCAGAGGACCTTGTCTTATGAAACTCCACTGCGATTCACCAGCTTCCTAAGTGATGGTGACAGCAAGGCCTACACTGCAGTCTGCGAGGCAAATGTATACTGTGACACCCCCATTGACAAAGAAGAGTGCACGAACCACGTTGCAAAGCGCTTGGGAACTGCCCTACGGAAATTGGCAACGCCACTGCCACGAGGCGAAAAACTGAAAGATGCGACAATAATAAAACTACAAACATATTACAAGATCGCCATCACGAGCAACAAGGACAGTGTCCGAAATATGTACACTGCCATATGGGCATCGTATTTTCATTGCTTCTCCAGTGATGGTGCCAGTAGCCACAACTTTTGCCCCGCGGAACCAAATTCGTGGTGCAAGCACAAGCGTGCGGAAGCACTGGGGGAGCCTGCACCACGCCACACCCTACTGTTGACGAAGGCTCAAGGATTGGCAATTATGCCTATCTACAAGCGCCTTACAGAGGAGAAACTCCTTATTCGGTGCCTTCATGGCAAGACACAGAATGCAGCCGAATCGCTGAACAGCAAGATATGGCTGCTATGTCCAAAAACAAAGTTCGCCTCCAGAACAACTGTGGAGACAGCCACCGCTCTTGCTGTACTCTGGTACAACAAAGGCCACAGGGGCTTTGAAGAAGTGCTCGAAGGCATTGGAATTCTCCCCTCACAAGATCTGGCCACACATGGTGACCACTGTGACGTCATGCGCATCAGGAAGATGAACCTGAAGCAAACTGCAGAAGCGAGGGCACACCGTCGCAACACAGCGAAGAGAGCTCGTGTTGAGGACACTGACCGCAAGAGCCGCGAAGGACCAAGCTATGGTGCAGGGGACTTCTAGACACTTGCAGTGCATTCAAGGCAAGGTACTTTTCATTGTGCCCCAATTTGATGCAAAAAGAATGATTTCCTAATAAATGCCAACTTTGCGAACTTTCAAACTTGTTTTTCTCATTTTCATTTTTTCTGACAGTTTCACGTTTTCCGGGCAGCCTTTTAGAAACTTATATTCACTGTATAGTAACGAAACTTGGCACACATATTCTTCAACACATGCAGAATGCAAATATCTACTCTAAATTGCAATGCCTACCAGCATTAGTTGTGAAAATATTAGCTTATTGTTTCAAGGGAGATTGAAAATAATAAGTCATTCAATACAATTTTTTTTTCTTGGTTCTAATATTTCTGTGACATATCTATATAGATATTTGCACTTTTCAATCTACCAAGAGTCAAATAAGATCAGACACAGTGCTTTTACTGAAAGTTTAGTACATAAAAGAGTGCCCGCAAAAAATGTAACTTTTTGCTATTGTTTATAGCATAACTCAATAATTATAGCAGCTACACAAAAAATGATTGCATATTTGAAATCTGCATGAAAAACTATACTAATAACAAACTTTTCAAGTCTCTATTACTAGAAATAAAAAAAAAACTTTTTCGAGGAGCGTCTCCCCTTAAAGAAAATTTTTAGGGCAATAAAAAAATCTGGCACTGTCTTCGGGTACAAGCACATATACAAAGTTGTTCCAGCACTTTAGCAGGTTTCATCACTTCGCCAGACTGTCCACGAGGGAGGCGCTTGAAAATTTTTTATAAAATGGTAACTAGAAAACGTATCTTCACAAAAATTTTCATTCATCTTGTTAATGTGATTTATAGTGTGCAGGCCAAATTTCACCAACTTAAATCAAGAAACTAAAAAGCTACAAACGATGACCCGTGTCCCCCTTAAAAAAAAACATTGATAGGAAGCCAGAATTTCATCCTTGGACACTACTTTCTGACACCCTGCCACAGCATGCATGCCGTAGGCGGCACATGGCAAGATAAAAGCAAAAAATGATGTAGTCTAAATACAGCGAAGCCAAATCCAGGCACCTGAGTAACAACAGTGAGTGGGGCAGACGGCCGAGTGTTCGAACTGGTTGTCGTCATGATGGTGAGCACCTTCTGAGCAGGGCTCACACCTGGCTTGGCCTGGATTGTGATGGCTCCCCCACTGGGCAACAATCCTTGCGCAGGCAATGCTACAATCTGCCCCCCACCAGCAGCTGCACCCCGGCCCCGACCAGCTGGCATGGTGATCGTGATGGGAGAACTGCTGCTCGTCAGCTGCGTCAAACCAGGCCCTGCAATAGAAGCGCACACGTGCATTAGTACAGCACACATTAGCTGTGACAGCAACAGCCCTTCAGTTTCAGTTCCATGACCGCACTCGCCTACTCAGTGAGGCGCGTCTGTCCAATGTATTCAAAGGTCCGAATCTGCCTCGTGCGCGCGTCGGAGAGTTGGCTCAGGAGGGTCAGGAAGAGCAAAATATGCGAATATTTCCTTTTTTAGTAATGCTGGCTAAATATTAGGAGTGTACAAATTATGCAACTAAATGCGGTACTTAAATCTCGGTAACTCTGCTGCTAATAAACACATATTCATGAAATTTAACAGTTCCTCTTGTTCTCGTGTTTCATTCATGCCCTGAAAGTTTCATCTTAAAAAATAAAGAAGTTCTATCTGCAGTGTAACCTGCAGTGTAACCTCCTTTTTAAAGCGCCTGTGTTCTCTGCCTCAAGAGCTACATACAGCACACAAAAAAAAAGAATACATAGACACTCGAATCTAACACATCACAACGATGCACTAGCCGAAATGTGATGTTTAATATTCGTAGAAATTGCGGAGACATGAATGCAGGTAAACCACAGTTGTTTTAAAAAAGTCAGCTAAAAAACACCTATACACACAACCCTTTTGACGTAACAGATTTTTAGGCGAAGTATCCAGGAAGCAGAAACAGTGGCGACTGAAAATAGAGAGAACGCTGAAGACACTAGTCTGCTTCAGAATCATCATCATCACAAAGCAATCTCCGCTGTCACGTAACAGCAACGATTTGACTGGTTTTTTCACAAACACGAACTGTCCCGTTTCCCTTCTTGAATGCAACATTAGAGCACTGAAATCCCTTTTGTAAATGGTATACAGGGCACAAAATTTTTATAATTTGTTTTTAGGATCAAGGTATCCCTGTGAAAATTTTAGTCGAAAATTTCATTCACGATGCCATAGTCCCTGCACAAGCTCACTCAAAACACCTTAGAAGAGTTCTCAAGCTAGTCTTGAGGACTTTTGCAGATTGACTTGCAAAAGGCTCAAGCTCACAGCCCAGCACCGGGTGGCAGTAACGCAGAGAAACCGTGTTTGGCACTCACGAGAACCAGCAGCTGTAGTAAGCAATGTAAATGCTTGCTGGCCCGTCAGGCCTGCCGACGAGACCACGATCATCTTGACACCACTCGGCGAAGAGACGGAATTGAGCTGGCTGCCTGCCGACAACGGAAGCACATTCACTGACGTAGTCTTGGCACCTGCACACAATGACAACTTTATTAACGGCAATACCAATAACTGAAGAAAAGAAAAAAATAGCTCGGTGCGAAAGCAAACATTTTAGCCTTCCCGTGAGCTATCTAAAACTGCTAAACAGTTTCGGAATGCTCAAAAAGCTATTCTTTGTATTGCAAAGCAGTAGGCTTGTGCGAATATTCGAATGCTTCAAATATTTGAATGAATATTATAGTATTCGAATTCGCTTTGAATAGAATTTAAAATTTCGAAAACTTTGAAGTATTCGAGATGAACCAAAAGGAGTACAGTCGACGTCAGACTACTCAGACTAAAGTCAGAAATTCCAGACGTTTATAGCTTTCGCCATCAAATTTTGCAGACTTTATACCGCTAAACACAGACTCAGTCACTATCGACGCCGCCATTTCAGTTGTTTTCGTACCATCGAACCTACCGTGTCACAGCTGCCGTACCCTCGAAACCGCAAACGCCACGATCCAGTGCACGCCAATCCAATGCCAGCCGTAGCTTAGTCAAACCTGTGGCCACAGCCAAATGATGCTATACAGCCTGTGCTCCGGCAGCGTAAAAAGCTACGCTGTCCACCTATGATCTGCCTTCGGCATGCTTGCAGACTCGTGGAAGGTGGTTACGAAACAGACTTTTCGGAACTGTTTTCACCACGCAAGCTTCATACTGGATGCAGAGATGGCTGTCTCGCCTAGAGTGAACAGCTTGTGCGACGAACTTCCACACGCAGACGTTGCCTTTAAGGGGAGAAGCTACTCAAAGACACTTTTTTTTAAATATTCGCCCTAGAGCAATGAAACTTGAGCTGTTTATGGAACTTTTTATGCTGATTTCAAATATATAATTAGTTTTCACAGTTAAAAAGTTTCACAGTAAAAAAAGCAGGAGCATCAGGAATGGCTAGCAAATCTTTCAATTTCTAATACTGGTAGAAAGGGAAAAACGTAAACATCTGCAGAATGGCGCAGATGCATTGAACGCATTGAACCTTATGATTTCAGAGATTAGGTGCTACCTGTGGCTGCATGTTACACGTTACCAATTCGAGACAAGTACCAAACTACTAGCTCTGGACCATTGTCAAGACTACTTCAGTACTACATATTTTCTCACATATTATCCACACGCTCAGTAATAACTCATGGTAATTTTATAAACATAATTCTTGCTTATAGCCCCAAAGCCAGCTTCCTGACAAAGCTGCAAAGGTTTGCCATGAAGCCATTTCTGTCAAATATTTGTATACAGTTGCCAATAAAATTTTCAGACTTGAAAAATTCTGACCTGTTGGATATTCCAGAGTTCACTGATGCACCGTCAAGGTTCCCATTGCACTATTCATTTTGCGACCGATTGTTCGGACGAATTTATGTTTCGAAGTTCGCTTCTTCAGACTAAGTACCGTATTTACTCGATTCTACCGCGCCCTCGATTGTAACGCGCACCCGATTTCCACGACGAAAAAAAAAAGTAAGACATCGATTGCAACGCGCACCCATTTTTCTCGCTGGCCCGCGCGATCACACCACTCGAAAAAACGACTCCTTTCGGGAGCGTCTTCCATTTAAATATGAGGTACGGGCGAAACTTGTGCCCATCTGACGTGTAACAGAGCATTGCCGTCACTGTAGTTTTACCGTGGACCGATGTCAGCACGCAAACTTGCTTCGCCCCCTTCTTCTCGACGGTTGAGGTGCCAGGCATGTCGAAGTAAAGAGGCGTCTGATCGGCATTCCCGATTTGCCCAAGCAGGTAGCCGTTGTTGTGCCGCAAGTTTAGGACGAACCTCTGAAAACTGTGAAGCATTTCATCGTACTCCTCCGCAAAACTTTTCGCATATGCCCATTCCCCTTCGGAGGGAAAAGCCTTTTCTCTTCATAAAGTTAGTTAGCCAGTACCTGCTCGCTTTAAACTGGCTCCGCATTAGACCTTGTTCTAAGGCTAATTGCGTAGCCTGCGCTTGGAGTTCTGTCGTCACAAGCTGCTGTGCCGCTTGCTGCTCAAGCACATACTCGCCGAGCAGCTCTTTAATTTGCGGAAACCGACCCTGCTGTGGTTCACTGAAGCCTTTGTGTGAAGCTTTTCTGTCGACAATCTTCTGCTTTTGTTTCCGCCAGTCCCGCACGCACGTTTCGGGAACTCCGAACGACCGGGATGCGGCCCGATTTCCGTCCGTTTCTGCACACGCGATGACTGTTCTTTTAAAAGCAGCATCGTGGTGCACTCGAGTTTTTGGAGTCGGCCCTTCCATGCCGTCGATGCTAATGCACTACAAGATGACAAACTCCTCAGCACACGTACGGAGTGCCGCACATGGGAAACACATAGGCAGAAATGGCCGACGCGCCATGCCGACGCACGTAGGGGGCGGCCATTTTGGAAATGCCGATGGCAATAGAATGACCATATTCATTTTTTTTTTCGTACTCAATTCTAACGCGCATGCGATTTATGAACTCGCTCAACCGGAAAAAAGGTGCGCGTTAGATTCGAGTAATTACGGTAATCGGTTTTGAGCTGTGCAGCTTGATTTCGAAAGCCACCATGTTAGACTTTTTGTTGGCTACGTCGTTTTGGAGGCCACACAACTAGCAGTGGCTAGTTGTGTGGCCTCCAAAATTAGAAGCACACAATCTTCCAGTTTCAGAGGTATGTCTGATCTTTCTTGACAAGCAAACTTTCTACAGTCAACCCTTGTTATAACAAAGTTGAAGGGGGAGTCGTAATTACTTCATTATAACCATTAGTTCGTTATAGCCAATATCCATTTCTATTGACAATTAGCCGACAAAAGAGAACGTACATGCCAACGAATATTACAGCAACCCGCCGTGCAAAGAAAAACGGCCGTCAAAAAGTAATAAACAGCAAAATAACAAAGAACAATGCACTTTATTACCGCTTTATGTCTGCTTTTCCAGCTGCAGTAGCTATTTTGAGTTCGTCCTCGCCGTCATCGTAAGCCCCAAAGAAGCAGCACAGCAGTTCTGTCGCATCTAGCACTCGCGTGGGTGTCGGTATGTCGGGTTCGTCAACATTAGGCTCAGGGTGTCAACACATTCGTCACTGTTGTCATGCAGGTTCGTCACCGCGGGCAAAATTTCCGCATCTGCCAAAACTTCGGTTGTCACCACGTCAGCATCGGCACCAACGTATATGCGGAAAGTGTCACAGTCAGGCACAACGCCGGCGTCAAGGAGAGCGTACGACGACGTCAGGGGCCTGGTCGCCCATGGCACCCAGCGACATCGCCGAAACCTTTGACCACTTTTTTTTTCTTTCTTGACACCAGACTCGAGGGCTTTCAACATTGCCGACTTCTGCTCGAATGTTTTTTTTGCGCTTAAGTTTGCCGCTGCCGTTGTCCAACTCGTGTCTAGCGGCAGAAACCGATAGAGGTGGTGTTGCTCTTCCACAGCAAATGACATGGAAGACACCCACAATCTTTACCGCCCGGGCGGCATGCGAGGCCCCAGCGCCGTGCTGAAGGGGAGGAGGAGGTCAGATGTGCGAGCCGGTCAACGAGTTCTACAGGAGAGGGGAGGACAGCTGACGCGCACGCTCGCGCGAGTTGCTGCGCGGGCGAGTCCATTAGTTCCTGACGAAAGGGGAGGCAGAGAGACTCACTCCCACTGGCGTGTTGGCAGGACGCAGACGGCTCCAGGTCAGAGCAGGGCGCGAGTTTTGAACTACCGCAGCCACGATGAGAAGTAAATCGTCACGTGCTATAAGATATTGAATTGACGTATACCAAAATGATCAGTAAATGTTCATTCCAGACGAAGAATGGTTCGTTATATCCATTGCAAAGAAATTTTCGCTTCGTTAAAACGAGGTTTTAAATACATGGGCGTCTATGAGAATTTCAAGAAGAATCGCAATTGCTTTGTTATATCTATTAGTTTGTTATATTCCCCTTCGTTGTAACAATGTTTTACTGTAATTCAGTCAGCCTTATATTCTCATTAATAGGCTAGAAGGTTGTTTTCATTTTCTGGGCATTTGTTTTTCTGGTCGTCATTGCGCATGCAGCTGTGTTAGTTGTGTGGCAAGTGTGGTTGAGCTGTTGTGCGCGTCACACACTCGCTGCTGTTCGCAGTTGCTCAGTAGCACTTTGTGGTGACAGTGCTCGGCTACTGACCTGGAACACGCAGGTTCAACCACGGCCATGACAGTTCGAGTTTTGATGGAGGCGAAATGCTGGAAGCTCACGTGCTGTGCTGTCAGTAGAGGTAAAAGAAGCCCAAACTGTGTTGTCAAATTCCACCAAACAGGCGAGAAGTTGGATACTTTTGCAATGGGCATCAAGTTTTGTTAGCTTGATTCCATGTTGCCACCACCTTTGCCGCCCGCAACAGTTGGCAGCAGCGATTGCCAAAGCACCTGCCAGAGATGTTATTGTAGCCCGAATAGAACTAAATTTGCTCACCCCTGAGAACAGCAGGAAGCATGGCATCATTGAGGATATTGTTTAGGCTTCAGAATTCAATTAAACTTCATTTTCCCGACTTGACAACATTTCCAAACTATTCAGTGGCCCCTGCCAGGTCCAGAAAATAGGTCGGCAACTGTATTTATTGTCTTGCGAGTTACATGCGAGAGAATATGATTTGACACATTGAGCACCAATTCAGCAGGAGTAAAACTTCGAGCTATAGGCCTTACGAAAGCATTTCGTGCATGCTAAGAACCAGCTTCTCCCTCACCCTTGCCAGCCTCAACGGTGGCTGAAGCGGTGCCTACCACAGTGGCCTTGCCCTGTGGATGAGTGGTAACAACGAGGATGCCACCAGGACCCGCCTTGGCACCTGCCTGCGTCAGCAGCTTGGCGGTTCCCGGCTGGCCACCAGCCTTCGGTGCAGCAATCACGATGGTCTGCTGTTGCTTGGGGCTGCTACCCACAGTGGCAACAGATGAGGGCGAGCCAGGTTTTGCCACTGTCACTATGTTACTAGGCAGTGTTCGCAAGATGGTCACCTTCGGGCTGGCCCCAGTTGCACCCTGTGCACCCAAGAAGAACTGTGTCTCAAGCATAGGTCATCATCATCAGCCTGGCTTCACCCATTTGCCAGTCAACTCGGTCCTGTGCTTGCTGCCATTTTATACCTGCAAACTTCTTAATCCCATCTGCCCACCTAACTTTCTGTCTCCCGCTCACCCACTTGCCTTCTCGTGGAATCCAATGTGTTATCCTTAATGAACAGTGGTTATCTTGCCTTCACGCTACATGCCCTGCCCATGATCACTTCTTTTTGATTTCGTCTACCGTTTGTTTCCCAATACACTCTGCTCTTTTCTTGTCCCTTAGGGTTACATCTATCATTTCCCTTTCCGATACTTGTCGCGTCGTCCAAGCACAGACAAAAGGACTAAAAAAGCCTAGCAAAAGTTACAGTGTACGACAACCCGATTGCTTTGTTGATCAGATGGACTGCATTCAGAGGGCATGTGCAACAACCCTGACTGCACCATGACTAGTGCTTGCTACTTTGCCACAATAATTTATGTGCTTGCTGCAAGTTTGGCATAGCTCACCAAAGCAAGACGAGTACTACAGAAACAATAGAGAAAAGGGCTTCAAAATGCTTGAACACCAAGAATTAACTGTGCACGTACGTAAACACACACAAACACACACAGACAGACAGAAAGAGAAAAGAGCTCATCTATAGAGTGTGTTGTCAGCGATAAAACAAATATTTGCAAATGTTTTTCATTTAAATATGCCCTTAACCTTAAAAATTTGAAATCTGTTCAAATAGATTGGCAATTTGAACTCCTATCCCAAATGCTGTATGAAGCTTGGGCCAATTCCCGAAAACCCCACCATTTCATGTCATGTACAAGTTTTTTTCTAAACACTCTTTTAGCCTATGCCTTTAACTAGCTCTCAGCAGCTGAAAACCAAGCGGATTGTTGCACACAACCCTATCAAGACCTACCGCCAAGCCAAGCAAAGTGGGCTGCTGCTGTGCTTGCGAAGTTGTGATCAGTGTGGGCTTGGTTGCCGTGCCACCTGCTTGCGTGGTGACCAGCTTGACAATAGTGGCCCCCTGGGGAATCACTTTGCCTTGCGGCGACGCCTTGCCAGCTTGCTGGATCAGGCTCACTTTGGGCATCTGGAAAGAAAAGGGAGGGTCCTCGTCACAGCATGTCGAACTACTTTTCACTTACTAGCTTGAGGACGGCTCATCTCGGCAGTGGAGCAAAGGCTACGGCGGCACTGTTCTACACATTCGCCGTACTGCGCAAGCAGGACAGCAGCTTGCGGCTGATTCCAGTTCATAAAATCAGTCACAAGCTGCCTGTATGCTCTGTATGCTATGCTCGTATGCTCGCGCGAATATTCAAATGCTTTGAATATTCGAACAAGTAATGCAGTATTTGAATTTGCTTCAAATCGAATTTAAAAGTAGTGAAAATTTCGAATAACAGTCGGTCCCGGATATATTGAACTCGAATGGGTTCGCGAAATAGTTCGATATACCGTTAATTCAAAATACAAAGTATACATATTTAAGACCTAAGTTAAAGCATCTCAGGCCTCTGAAATCGTTACAAGCGCTAACATAACCATTTGCTCACAGTATAATGACAAACAAGGCTAAAAGGGAGGAGCCAGCTGAGGCGAGGAGGTTAAACACGGAGAAATGCTCTTTCCGATTAGCCCAAGAAGCCAGCTCCCGGCCCAAGCATCGCGAAACTATAATTCTTTGAAAATCGCTGTTTTCTCGTCGTTTCCAGAAAAAGCTTTGCTACCTAAGTGGGTGAAATAAATTTTACGAAGCACTTCTGCACGGTTTTCAGTGTAGATATTTTGGAACCAGATAGAAAAAGGGTTCTAGAAACTGAAAACTTGAGTTTCAAAAAAATTTTTTTTGCCACTTTTCGCGATCCCAAAGCCGCGTCCCCCCTTAATCATGCTCTTTTCTTTCGCTCTTCTTGTAAAGGAGGTTTTCATCTTGATTTCCCACAATCATTCAAACCGGTGCGACAAAGATAATACGCAACGAGCGAGTGCGTTTCTGCGCTGCGGCGCCACGATAAGAACACTCGGATCGTACATGTCACCCCTACTAGGGCATCATCACTCAGGATGGTATTTGTGGAATGTATCACACCGAACATGTAGCACTAATGTCAATGTTGCAGGGCAGTCTATCTTCCGTTTTTTCTCTTTACCATTTCTACGCTGCTTGACATCGAATTAAAATAACTTCTACGCGACGGATGTCATTCAAATTCGGCCAACCAGACCTATGCATACCAAGCGATCGAATGATGGGCACATCTTAATCTTTAAATTTGATGTCAGCGCTCCTTTAAGGGGTGCTAAGCAGCAAAAGCATCTTGCCAGGTGTGCATTAGTTCGCATGTAACCTTTTGTAAAAGTAGTTTCACTGCAGTGAAGTGCTGCTAAGCCTTGAAAACACATGTCCAGAAGAAATGCGCACTGCTGCGAAGCTCTACTTCAAGGTATGAAGGTATTTACCTCACATCAATTTATTTTTTCTAGTTTAAAATCTCATTACACTGACTTATATGCTCCAAGTAAATGAAATTTTAATACACAACACATTTTACTGGCTACCAGATACATTCCACTAAAAGTGCAAAAAGAAAAAAAATTGAATTTGCACACGCCTTTTTTAAACTTTCAAAAGATACAGTAGAATCTCGATAATACGAATTCGAAGGGAGCGCATCAAATATTCGTATCGGCCCGAATTCGTATGAACCAAAAACAACTTGAAGCTGATAAAAATTATGAACAAGAACTTCACTGGCAACTACACCTTGCTGAAAAAAGTCTGCGATGTTCTTTTGAACTTTCCTGCCTTCACCATCAATTAGGTGCCGCGGTTTTTTCCCTTGCAGCGCGTTCACAGTTGATATCAGAGCGAGCGATAGCGGCCGAACTCATCGGAAATTCACTCGCTTAAGCAGCCGGAAAACCGCACCGCATAGTCAACACGAAAAAAAAAAAAGTCCTGAACAATTCTCATAGGAGAATTCAAGCGAAAATGCTAGTGCAACCGGAAAACCACGTCCGGGCCCGCCAAAAACGTTCACATTCGTTCTGCCCCTCGTATACATGCCACCCCCGCCATCGCTGCTTGAGAATTCAGTCCATTTTACCGATTTCTTGAGCAATGAACTTCGTACTGAGTTATATTCATGCATACAAGGCACTAAAAAGAAGCAGGTTAAACCTTTACTAATATTATTTCGGAAGACACGCCAGCTGAAATGACACGGGTGGACGCAGCGGCGGCGATGGATTCAGCCGGCAGTGCAAAAGCAAAAAGCAAGGCACGTTCGGGCAAGCCGGCTCGCTGCTGCTGCACCTTCTACTTCCGGTGTTATCAGCGATCGTAATCTAAGCCAGGCTCTCGACGACCGCGTCCGTGTCAAAAGTGTGAGCTGTGGTGTGCCGTGCCGGTAATTCGCGATAGGGTCGACGCAACCCACCACCGATGCCTTCGCCACCATGTTGATTCGCGGCTGGTTGTTGACATCATGTGGTTTGAAAGATAGAGCAGCCGGTGAAGCCAACGCCGTGAAGCAAAAAGGCGATATGCTACTGGCGGCGGGAAAATTATTCTCGGACCCATTTTTTCATCTCCGACCCAATGTATCATCTGCCAGCCACGGCAGATGATACATTGGTATCCTCTGCCGTGGCTGGGGAAGCCATTCGTATAACACTGAACCACAGTGTATTTTATACAATCTAGTCCATCTAAAACAACCTTTAAATTCGTATTATCGCGAAATTCGCATCAACCTTAATTGTATCATCGAGATTTTACTGTATTATGCAATTTAGTTTGGTTATGACAAATATGTCCATTTTTCTTTATAATATGTGGTATATCTTCTATTCAAACTCAATTTGAAATCATTCGACCAGAATCACTACAGTCTACTCTCGTTACAGCGAACCATTATTATCCGGCAAAGTGAGTCCATTTTATCGGAAGTCCGTAATATCAAGACTTTGCGTGGGGGGGGGGGGGGGGGGGGGGGGGGGGGGAGGCCACCTGATTGCATTGCACGTGTGACGATCGTTTCGATTTCACTTGGCAGTATGGGGCAGGCTAGTTCAACTGGAGAATGCCCCAGCATGTTTACAAAGAGACTTGATCACTAGCAGCAGTTATCAATAAAATTGCAGCGCGGTGCTGTAACAGTAGACGCAAGGATGCTATATGGCTCTTGCACAGCAACAAAGCTTATCTCGATATCACAACGCTTCTAGTAGGCTTTTTCATATGCTCCTGTTGATCGGCTTCAAACAAATTATTATTTGTGAGGACGGGAAGGCATATCGCCCACTAATTGCCAGGAGCGCAGCCCCCCCCCCCCCCTTCCCCGTTTCAAGGGTCACTGAACGGTCCCAAGTTCGTCTGAGAGTTCTGAACTGAGCAGCACCAAAGCACCACTCACATTCATTAAATCTGACAGCGGAACTTACCTGCTCGGAGCACCTGAACGTCTTGCTTTTAAAACATAGGTCGTGATGCCTAGCAATGTTGCTGTAACAAGTGACAGACATTTAATGCAAATCAAAAATTCATTGATTAATATGTGGGGTTTCACGTCCCAAAGCCACCATATGATTATGAGAGACGCCGTAGTGGAGGGCTCCGGAGATTTCGACCACATGGGGTTCTTTAACGTTCACCCAAATCTGAGCACACGGGCCTACAACATTTCCACCTCCATCGGAAATGCAGCCGCCGTAGCCGGGATTTGATCTCGCGACCTGTGGGTCAGCAGCCGAGCACCTTAGCCACTAGACCACCGCGGCGGGACGCAAAACACAAACACCTTATTTACAGTTACATTGAAAAGAAGTTTGTGATCAGCAATTGGCGAGCACCCTTGAGCGATGCTGTTATCATTTCGCACCGCATTCCATTCAGCTGTAACACTTCGGCAGTGCAGTCATCTTCCTGCTGTTGGAAGAACAGTCAAACACCGCTACAACAAATGCCGTTTCAACAAAATTTCCGCTACAACGAAAAATTCATGATACTCTATCAGCAGTCCATAGGTGTCAATGCATAAATATTGTTGCCACAAACTTTTTCTTCGATCGTCCCGCTTCAACGAATTTTTACGATGCAATTTCAGGCTCAGACACTTATTTTTATGCAGTAAACTTAATCTATAACATTTCGATGCATTTTCAGAGCCTGAAAATGCGTCAACGAAGTCTAAAACATGAAAACATGCATTGGCACCACCAGAAACCGCCACTATACCACGGATATTCAGCAAGAGGGCGCCGCCATAGTTCGATAGCGATGGCAATGAGACTGCCCTGCTTTTGCCACTGGCTTGCTTTGAGCCGCAGACGATCCAAAGCTGAAGCTCAGTCGCTCGGTTCATAGTTTCCGTCACGTAGCTGCTGGGTTATGTTCGCGCTTGGCCAGTGTGGCTACTAATCAGAGCGACTGTTCGTCTGCGTTATCAACAAAATCAGCTAACTACGAGTGATGGATGATAAGAATGGCATACCGTATAAAGCCGAATATAAGTCGAGATATTTTAAATAAAATAATACGATAAAGTCACCTCTCGTCTTACATAGTGGTGTCTAGACGAAAGTGCGCCGCTGTCTGGCAACATGTGGCTTGCATGTGCTTGAGAAGCCAGACGCGGCCATATCCGCATCCAAATCCAATCGCAGGCTTTTTTTTTCTTCCGTCTGTTTTCTTTGAGTTCGTGATTTGCTTCCGATCTGTTCAGACTTTTTGCTCCACATGACATAGCGCTGCATTTTTAGTGGTCTTTTTTTTTTTTTGTTCACTGAATATGAGTAGTGGTACGAAGAGGCAGTACTCAGCTGCATTTAAACTAGGTGTTGTTGAGTTCGCAGAAGCGAACGGGAATATGGCTGCTCAGTGCCACTTTGGTGTATCGGAGCTCATAGATTGCTATCGCGTCACTGCGACCACGGTTTTGTGCACGGCGGTTGCGGCAAACAGTAGTTCGCGCATGCGCCTTCAAAACTAAGACATTTTATGCCATCTACGACAGCATCTGCCGCAGGTTTATCCGCAGAGTTTGCGAAAAGCAGCGTTGTTTTGACTGATCAGTGTCAAGAGCGACATGATCGTGTCAAGAGCGACCGCGGTTTTGTCTCCAGCGGTTGTGGCAACGACAATCATACGCACTGCAGTGCACCGGTCGCACGCGTACTTTCGAAGCTTCGAGTATGCTGCTCTCGGCCTTCGTTCGACGATTTCCGTACTAAAGTTCGTATCACCCACCGCTATTAGGAAATGTGTTCATAACATTCAAATTTAGACCCAATGGACACAGTCGAATTTGGCTGGGGAATTTCACGAATTCTTATCTGCCGCAGTTTCGCATCACTGAGATTCTATTGTACGTTACCATGAACTCATTTATAATAAAATGAGGTAGGTTCGAAAAGCCTGGAACGGATTTAGCTGCTTTTTTTGTCAATGCGGGCAGATCAGGCACCGAAATTTCGATTTCCGGGAGATTTTCATGACAACCGTACAAACGCAAAAAACGGTCAAAATCCGGGAGTCTCCCGGCCAATCCGGGAGACTTGGCAGGTATGCAGTTTCGTTGTAGCGGGGTTTGACTGCATTCACACAAGACTATTGCATACAGTTTTCTCTCACCGTGGCCAAAGTGACACCCTGTGTAGTCTTGACGAGGGTGACAATCTGAGGTTGGGACGTTGCCGCAGCCCCCTTGTGCACAGTGATGATCTGCTTGCCACCGACAGTGGTGCCTGCCTTGAGCAGGGTACCAGGAGCAGCCAGCCTTACGGTTCCAGTTCCAGTAGGGCTCCCTGAACACACAAGCAGTTCCAGTGAACCAAGTCCTTCTACATGCCCGTACTTTTCCCTCGTTTTCCCTGCCAACTTGAGAAAAATGTAGCCTCATATGCGAAACAGTCTTTTCCTACAAGCACTTTTGTGTAATGTGTTTTTACAATGCATAAACAAGTATTCTACCCAGGAGCTGGTTTGTATACGGCATCTCATTTCGAAAAGTGGCCACAGCAGGCACAATGGAATTCCTTGGGGCCTGCATGCCCTGCTAGTTTTGAACAAAATACTTACCCATGTGCTTCCTCTTCCAACCTTCGAATGCTCAGGCAAAAGCTTCACATATGGTTTGGCTACGGGTTTGCTAACGCGACAGTGGGCGTTGTTGCAATCAGAAGCAGGATGCAGCAAAAACCAGCTAAATGTAACACATTAAAGCCTGGAGACATCAAATCTGAAGCGCAGCACGAAAAATTCTGTGTGTAGGTAATTCAATATACAAAATATTTTATACAGTATAGACCACTTATAACGTAAGCCACGTATATTCACACAATAAGCGGTACAGCACTATCACCAAAACAAGTTTTTCCAAGGGCCGCAGTTGGGGAAAACGTGTTGAGCAGGCATCCTCTATGTCCGAGAATTGAAGCATGCGATGCGTGGTGCTTACAACCATTTAAATTTCCAAATGTTTAAAAAAATAACGTCCCAAGAGCCACGTTGCCAACGAATTTAACATAAAAAGAGAGGGGAGTCGGGGGTCTAACAAAAAAAAGCATCATCGTCAAAATTTACCGACTATACGTCAGACCGCATCGATTAGGCGCATTACACAGAAACTATGTTAGAATCAAGTCCGAAACACAGAATAAACGGCACAGAATAAACACAGAATACAAAGAATAAACACAGAATAAACAGAATCACGGGCTGAAAGATGCCAATTGTTCAATTTCACGGGCGCACACCCGGTTTCAAGGTGTCGCAATGAGATTGCGTTCCAGCCCTACAAATGCCACCCTCAGTTTCATTAATATGCATCCCTTCCCGTCAAGTGCAGCCACCACAAAGTGAGTCGTTGATTTCGTACCATACCGCAACTTAGCATGCGACCTCTACCGAAGCGTAATCAATGCCGATTACGCCTACGTAGCAGCGTGGGATGTTGTAGCGAGAAGATTGTCCAAGACATGAAGATCCGGTATCGAAAAAATCGCACTCATGCACAGAACCAAGAACAGCATGTGTGATACAGTGAAATCTCGGTATAACGAACTACAGGGGGTCGCGGCAATGTATTTTTATTTTGAAAGGTCGTTATAGTGAAAGCCCAAATATTAACCATAAATACTTATTTTTCACTGACCAAAACGACTTACCTTTACAACGGTGAGTCCTCGAGCTCGTTTTTCTCGAGAAAAAACAAATGCACAAGTGAACACCGAAAAATGCACGTTTAGTTTAAAAAAGTGTTTTTTGTGTGTGACACATGAAGCACAAACTGTAGCGCGAAGGCCTCCCACAAATCCCCAATCCTGCGGTGTGATTCGGTTCTTTGGTCACAGCAGCCTGCTTTTTGCCTTCCAGTTGCCGAAGAATATCCACTTTCTCGCTAAGCGAAAATTCATTCCGCTTCTTGGTCACAAGCAGAGATGAATTCATTTGTAGTAGCACCGCAGCGCGAATGCAGACTTGCTTCGCGGACGCGATAAGTAATCACCGAAAAGAGATGAGCACGAATCACAAACAGGGCCTCCTAGAGCATGTGTAGAAGTGGCAAAAGAAGGAAAATACGATGCGTCGCGGCTGTCATCGCATCTTCAGAGGGAAAAAAAGTGCTAAAAAAGAAAATTCCTCGCATTTCATTTTCTGCTCCCTCGCTGTCTCAGGTTTTCCGCGCTCATGCTTCCTGCTCTGCAACTCTCACTCTGCCTAGCTGACCTTGCCCTCGCGTGTTGCCCTCCCCCTCACCTATGCGCTTGTAAACCAGCAGCGTCGGTGTTTCAACAAAAAGAAAAAAAGAAAGTCGCCATTTCGTTTTTTCACCGCTCCGCACCGTCGCGCGTCTTCCGAGAAGCAAGGCATCTGTTCGCTTTGTCGTCTGCTTGCGTACCGCTCTGGTTGTCGCGACGGATTTCAGAACATCAGTTCGTAGTACTGAGGCGTTAACATAACACAGAACTAAATTAACGTTCGTTATTCTGAAAAGTTCGGTATTTTGAAGTACGTAGTAGTGAAATGATTTGACATTGAAATTACTAGCAGTCTGCGTGAGATTTTTAAACGTTCTCAATCTAAATAGTTCGTTAATGTGTGGTTCGTTCTAACGAGATTTCACTGTACGAAGTTCGCATTCGCAAGATAAACAACAAAACCCATCAAACTTACATGAAACAGTGCACTGGCAGCAAAGGCAAAAGCTTGCATCATAAAGTCGTAAAAAATTTTAAATTGATCGATGAGATAGCCAAAGCAATATTTGTGGCAACCTTGATAATTGTGATGCTTTCTCGACAGGAAACTGTTAAGTGCGGTTGATAAAGATGTGCCATGTTGAGGATCATGACTGGAGCCATGCTAGCGACGCAAGTACACTGTAGTCGCGTCGGCGCCGAGGCAACCTCCCTCCTCCCTCGGCGAGCCCGCACAGCATGCAGTGTTTTTTTTTTTGTTTCCTATATCTTTCCTCTGCCCTTCGTTTGTTAATTCGACTTCCCTTTCTCCTCCGTAACGAGCTCGTTCCTTGCTCCTCAGCACGCCTACTTTCAGATGTGCACTTGCTACCGCGTTTATCCCGAAGGTTTTTTGGCAACCGCATAATAACCAATATTTCATTTTGGAGGACTGAACAATAAGTGGTATGCATATACATGGGCACGGGAAGGTGAACAAAAGTCGAAAAAGACTGCATTGTAACCCCTTCTGCATTACAGACGGTCACGTTCTAAGAGGTCTACACTGTGTATTAAAATTATTTCAAGGCAATTTTACAATTTTTTTATATGCACAATAATTCATTGTAGGGTTTTGTAGATCCAGGTATTACTGCATAAGGCACAGTTTCTCAAAGCAATAGCGAATTTGGCTTTGTAACGTGTTTATAATTAAACTACGGTTGCATACGGAGGTTGTACCTTGAATGGGCAGGGTACTAAGCTTAAGTCCCTGTTGAGCCAGAACTGACGGGGAGACCACTCGGATGGCCGGCGTTGGCGACGCAGCTGCAGTTGTGCTGGTCACAGTGGTCATCTTCTGAGTGGCAGCTGCCGCGGCTGCCAGTGCTGCCATGCCGGACATGGGTTGCTGTGCCTGTTGTGCCTGCCCTGCAGACCCAGCAGCAGTGGTGGTCGAAACCGAGGGTGACACGGCCACTTGCTGGACCTGCTGCACCTGATGCTGAGTCTGTTCAGGGGAACCACAGAGACACCGTTAGCCCATAAGGAAGTAATGCCAGTATAAGAGAACCATCGCCCTCACAGACCTGTTGTCTGTGAGGGCGATGGTAATCTATAGTAATCTATACGTCAATAGTAATCTATATTCATTCTATGCTTTAATTCAATGCAATCACGAGCTATAGACTGTTTAAAGGTCGTAAGCCATGAACCCAAAAAAACTTCCGGTCACCTCATTTACCAGCTCTTAACATCGAAACTGAAAGCGAGTTTTCAATTTCTTTTCAAGGGTAAGGAAAGTCTCTCTTTCGTTTTTCACATAAAAGGAGCATGTATAATGTACAGTTAAACCTCGTTATAACGAAATTGGAGGGCCGCTGCTATTTGCTCATTATAACCAATATTTCGTTATAGCCGTAGCGTGCATTTACCGCAAATATTATGCACTGTACTTACCCAAAAAAAATAGCGGCCGAAATAGCATCCCTCCGCACGGTGGTATGCAACAAAATAACCGCATTCCCAAATAAACAGGAAAAAGTCATGCACCTGTTTTAATGCACTTCAAAATACACAGCTTACATTTCAGGCAGACATAGCTGCAAAGAAGTCTGTAATTGGACGTTGATGCATCTTCCTGATGCGAACCATGGCTCGCTCAGCTACGGCCGCAATGTTCAAGTCATCTTCGCCGCCCCCAGGAGCGCCGAAGTAGCGGCGCAGTACGTCCACCGCGTCTAATGCCTCCGACGCCGTCGGCACGTTTGTCTCCTGTTCGTCGACAGAGTCATAGTCACTGGTTTCGTTACGATCACTGACAGCGCGCACAATATCGTGATCCAGGAGCTGCTCCGTTGCCACCACTTCCGAGTCCGCACTCACATAGTCGCAAAACGACTCGCTGTCAGGCACAACACCGGCGTCACAAAGTGCCGTCCATGATGCAGCGACTTCGTCTGATGTGGCAAAACCGTCCGGCACAGTGGGCTCGTCTGATGGCTCATCGCTGGCATCTGGTGCGGCGGCAAATGAGGCGTGTCGAAAGCAGTTTGCGATCGTGGTCGCCGTCACACTCATCCACGCTGCCTGAAGCATTTCAAGCGCAGCGTACAAGTCAACATCGGTGTCTCACTTCATCCTCATGTTGAGCAGGAGCTTGTCTATCACACGCTTGCGGTAACCTGCCTTCAGCGACATAATCACGCCTTGGTCAAGCGGCTGTATTTTTGCTGTGCAGTTGGCAGGAAGGAACAGCAGCTCGATGTTTTGAAGCACGGCAGCGGTATGGTGGGCAGTGCAGTTATCTAAAACAAGGCACACCTTGCGGTTCGCCTTTGCCAGCTTCTCGTCCCATTCGCAAAGCCATTTTGAAATAATCTCCCTTGTAATCCGGGCTTTACGATTGGCTACATACTTGACTGGGAGCTGCCTCTTCCCCTTAAAGCAGCGAGGGGATGCACTTTCGCCAATTACGAAAATTGGCAACTTCTCAGAGCCGGTATGTTTGCACAAAGTAGCGCAGTGATCCGCAGCTTACTTTGTTTACCACCCTGGCACGGCTCGCCTTTGAGGGCTAACGTCTTGTGCGGCAACATCTTGAAAAAGATAGCGGTTTCATCCGCGTCAAAAATATCCCCCGCGCTGTATTTTCCTAGCAGCCGCACGATGTTTTCTTTTGCCCACTTGGTAGCCTCTGCTTCATCGACAGATTGCGATTTGCCGCAGACCGCTCTCCCGACAATGTCGTGGCGCTCCTTGAAGCATTGGAGCCAACCCGAACTTGCTACGAAGTTGTCATAGCCCATGATGCAGGCAAAGTCTCTCGCTTTTCTTTGCAGCAAGGCGCCGCTCACCGGCAGATTCACGGCCAGCGTGTCCAAGAACCATTTAAAAACGGCCCTTTCGACTGCTTCAAAGGCAGGTGCCCTCACCCTCATAGCGCTTCCTTTCACGCCACGTGCAACAGCGTCGATGATGGACTCCTGCTTGCTCAAGATGGTTGACAGTGTGCTCGTCGATATGCCAAAGTCTCTTGCTACGTTGCCTTTCTTGGTCCCCGATTCGACGGCTCTTATCATAGCCGCCTTCTGATCTAGCGTTATGCGCTTTCGCTTCCCGCCTGGCGCATTCATGTTGCTGGAATCACGAGCGCAGCACGATAAGAGATAAGGCGGAAGCGGTCGAAAAAGAGAAGAAACACGCATGCAAGAGCAACGCGGCTCACGTCGGCGAGCGACAATACTTACAGAGAAAGTGACTGTGAAAAGGAAGGGGCAGAAGGGGCGCTCTCTTGCGCTGCCCTCTAGGAACCGGTTACTCAAGGGGAAGGGGGTATGTAAGATTAGGAAGCGCGCCTCAGCGCCATGAGAAAGGGGAGAGGGAGAATATAAAGAAGACACAAAAGAAAAGAAAAGGGTGAGACGTTCGCGGAGCGCTCCGCTGTCGGTGGTAGCCAAGCGGCGAACGTGCAGCGACCTCTCCTCCGGAAACAGCGCGTGCCGTCTGCTTTGCGCGCGTTGCTGGAGGGCGCGTGGCGGGAGTTTTGAACTGCTAAATACAGTTCTCGCGTTGCGCGCCGTCTCAAATTCGCGTTGTGCACTGTCGTGACATCGGCTCAAAATTTTACTTCCTAACAAAATTTGTTCGTTATATCCCATAACAGGCAAATTTTGCCTCGTTAAAACGAGGTTTTGAATACATTGGTTTGTATGGGGACTTTCAAGGGGAATTAGGATTTGCTCGTTATATCCATTATTTCGTTATAGCCAGTCTCGTTATAATGAGGTTTAACTGTACAAGAGAATGTTTTATAATTTTTATGTAGCTCAAAAGAACATTTATTTGAATATATTTTGCCAAATAAGGGAAGGAAACTGTACAAAATCAGCGGGATAAATTCTTAAGCTCTTGTTGTCCACCAATGCTACAAAGGGGGGACACTACTTGAGACGAAATGAGAGATATGTGCATGCGTTTATAAAGAAAATTCACAGTGCGATTGAGTTTTTAATGTGGATTTACTGTTCTAAACCAATTAGTTTTCGAGATATCCTAAATTAATTACCTATTGTTTGCCGGTATACCGAGACAGGAAATTTGTATTGCAGAGCTACTATTGGCACATGCCTTTATACTAATGAGCATAAGCTACACAACGGTAGGAGTGCTTGTTTTTTTATGATAATTTTTGCGAGGTTTGTCGCACCCTGCACTTCGGTGTTGCAGACACACCCACTTTATGTTCCAATTTCCGGCAAAAATTAAATTTTTTGAAGATCTTCATCGAAAATTCACACCTACCATTGTGTAAACTAAAGATACAGCTACATGTCACAACAAAAATGACAGTCCTAGCTGCTCTGGAGGCAGAGATATTTTTTAGACAAGTTTGCAACTGCAGCAAAATTTGAATCCTGAGAAATGATGCAAAACACAACAAGTCCATTTTGGGCAGGCAGCAGCATGTAAAAGCTGTTTATTTACAATGATTTGCAAATTCAGCTTTTTCAGGAGGCACCAGGCATGTAGTCCTTCTGTTTTGTGTCACATAAATGGCATTTTTTCGATGCCCGCTGCATATTTTCCGCAGAGGCACACTTGCGAGCTGATGTGGTCGCCTTGGGCTCGTCTGCTGACTAGGCCACTTAACAGTTCGGTAGCACCTATGTGCAACGAATGTGCGCACATAATCCGCGATTCGTCCTATAATGAATCAGTTTTCCGGCTTGTCCAGATTGAGTTGTTAATGTCAAAGACAAAACTCGTGCACTCGCTCATCAATTTCAAGGCTCCAAGAGCAGCGAGGTGTTAGTTTCCTTTTCCCGTAAGATTGCCACATTTTCGAGTGGAGGCCGCGGCTCAATATGTTCACCGTTGCGGACGCGCCGTTGCCGGTAGCCTTCACTGCGCAGGCGGCGAGCACGTTCACCGTAAACGAATTGATTTTCTGCTGTATGCCGACGCGCGGCGAACTCCACTCTGGCGACCTGCCACGCAGTTCACTTCAGACGGGGAAAACCCGCGGCATCGGCGAGTTTAGCTATAAAACTGCGCTTCCGTTCCATCGTTGCAAAGATTGCTATCTCTCGTAGCTTCACTTCTGCTTTCTTACTTGCCGTCCTCTAACTGTTGAAGCTCCAAAAAACTGCCGCTTTCAGCGACGTTGTCGACAACCGACCGGCTCATACGTGAGTTAGGCCTACACCGGTGACTCGGCGACCGCCGCTGAACGCCGAGAGTTTGCTATCCTCTGTCCTGAATGATAGTGGGGCCCTTTCTGAAGTTCACAGCGAACGAACGATCGCCACACCCGCTTCACCAATTAGTGCGGCGAGAAACTTCTTTACTGCGGCAGGCAGTCGACAGCACTATGACAAAATGGCACATGTCCGTGCGCGTCACGATGAAAAAGCAGATGCCCGAAACGCCACTTTGCCAATCGGGTGCCTAGGTTTTGTCACGTGCCCCAAGCAGCCAATAGAATTACGGGGTGGTGCTTTGCGATGATGTGTTTTTGCTGAAAAACTAATGAGCAAGGTGAGCCACAGGTGGCGGAAAATTGAAGATGAAGAACGACCCTTTCAAACGAGACCAATTGATTGATTGATATGTGGGGTTTAGCGTCCCAAAACCGCCATATGATTAGGAGAGACGCCGTAGTGAAAGGCTCCGGAAATTTCGACCACCTGGGCTTCTTTAATGTGCACCCAAATCTGAATACACGGGCCTACAACATTTCCACCTCCATCGGAAATGCAGCCGCCGCAGCCGGGATTCGATCCCGTGACCTGCGGGTGAGCAGCCGAGTAACTTAGCCACTAGACCACCGCTATGGGGCATTTTTATGCCCTAGAATGTGTTTCAAGGAGTATAGAACAAAGGCAGGACTGAAATAGTTGCAGCGGTTGCAGAGAAATCAGCAGAACAAGTGAAGCAGGAAGGAAGAAAAATAGTTTTGAGAAAACGGCTTTTGAAGTTGTACCAACTATATTTCATCACGAAAAGGCA